CCCCGCCCGAGTGAGTTCTCGCGCTCGGTCGCCGTCCCTTTGGCCGTCGCTCCTCCCTCTCCTCCTCCCTCCTCCCTCCTCCCTCCTCCTCCTCCTCCTCCTCCTCCTCCTCCTCCTCCTCCTCCTCCTCCTCCTCCTCCTCCTCCTCCCCGCCGCTGTGGCCTTCCTTTGGCCCTCGCTCGCTCGCCTCTCTCTCGGGCCCCCCCTCGTTCGGTCCCGCTGCTGCCTGGAAGCCGGCGCTTGACCCCCACGTCTTTCCTAAACGGCCTTGGGCGTTGACGAAGCAGCCCTGCCCCGTCCGACTCCTCCTCCGGGTGCGCTCACGAGACGACCTCGCGCGTCGGGGCGATTCTTCTGCGGGGGGACCTCTTCTGCTCTCTGTTTGTGGAGCCTCGCTCGTATCGCTCGAGGCCCCCGCCTGCGAGCGCACGGCAGTCAGGAGGGGAAAAAACGCACAGACACAATTAACCGTCGATCCCCAGGAAAATATGGGAACATATGGGAAGTGGTGGGGAAGACAAAAACCCAGAAAACATAGGAAAATATGGGACATCGTTTTATTTGTGTGTATTTATTTGTGTCTCCCAGTTTCCCTTCAGGCAGACCCCTTACGCTCCACGCCGGACCCCACCCCCCCTTTTTGGGGGCCCCTCGGCCTGCGGGCTCGGCGCCCCGCCCCGCCCGTGGTGCCCCCTCTGGGCGGCGTGGCGGCGCCGCCCTCCGCGCCGGAGCTCCTCACCGCGCTGGGGCGGGAGCTGTGGCTCACCGCCGACGAGCCTGGTGAGGCTCCGGGCTGCGCACGGACAGCGCTGAGATCCCGCGGGCCCGATCTTGTCGTGCCGCGCGCTCTCGCGTCATGTCTCCGGGCCCCGGGACCCTCCCCGGTCGGTGCGGGCCGAAGAGTGGCGCGGGAAGAGGGGTCTATAGGGCTCCCAGGGTGCTCACTCCTGGCATCGCTCGGACGTGTGCATTTTTTTTCTCGGCGAGGACCATCGAGGAGCATCCTTGATCATTCGGCGAAAGAACCACGCACGACATCGAAGAAAAAGCACAGGGAATGGACGTCCGAGCGATGGCCAGTACTTGGTCTGGCTTACGTGGAAGCCTAGGGGTGCTTGCTTGGTCCAACCATCTGGCCATGCCCGCGGGCTTCTCGCCCCCGTGCCGCCACCGTGCCGCCCCCTGTGCCGCCCCGTGTCGCCCTCGTGCCCCGCGCCGCCGTGCCGCCCCCGTGCCGCCACCTGCCGTCCCCGTTGCATTGAATTGCATTGCTCTGCATTGCTCTGCATTGCTTTGCATTGCTCTGCTTTGCTTTGAATTGATTTGCTTTGCTTTGCAGTAATTTGCATTGTATTGCATTGCTTTGCATTGTGTTGCATTGTGTTGCATTGCTTGGCTTTGCATGTCTTTGCTCTTTGCTTTGCATTTGCTTGGACTGTTTTGCTTTGCATTGCTTTGCTTTGCATAGCGCTGCTGTTCATGTCCTTCCTTTGGTTTCCATTAATTTGCATTGCTTTGCATTGTATTGCATTGCTTTGCATTGCATTGATCTGCATTGCTTGGCTTGCGCCCGTTCCCGTGCCGCATTGCTTTGCTTTGCATTGCTTCGCATGTCCTTTCATTGTTTTGACTTGCGTTGCATTGCTTTGCATTGCATTGCTTTGTTGTGCATTACTTTGCTCTGCATTGTTTTACTTTGCATTCCTTTATTGCTTTGCATTGCTTTGCACTGCTTTTCATTGCTCTGCTTGGCGTTGCATTCTTTTGCATTTCTTTGCGTTAGATTGCTTTGCATTGCTTTGCATTGCGTGGCATTGTTTTGCACTGCTCTGTATTGCTTTGCATGGCTTTGCATTGTTTTGCTTCGCATCTCGTTGCATTGCATTGCTTGACATTGCTTTACATTGCATTTCTTTGCTTGCTTTGCATTACGTTGCTTTGCATTGCTTTGCTTTGCATTGCATTGCATTGATTTGCTTTGCATTGCTTTGGATTGCTTTTCATTGCTTTGTTTATTTCGCATTGCCTGCCACCTACATTCTCCTTACGAGAATAGACTCTACCCACCCCAGCTTTATCGGTACACCTTGTGTTGCAATTCACATATGATTCTGCCCCATCGCCCATCCTAAATATGAATTCGTACCATCCCAGCCCGGCCGGGTTCGACTCCCCCCGCCATCCTCTGCAAAACAACTATGCGCGCACACTCGTTTATCAAACATTACCCACCGATCGTCAAATAACCCGTGCCTCCCGCCACCGCCCCTCACCAGGGATCCAAAACCGAGTTCTCGTATTCCGCGCTGCGCAGTTAATGCCAGGCATATATTGCATCGCGCACATTACGTAACATAGATTGCGCCGCATCGGTTGCGCTGCGTTCGTTGCATCGTACGAATTGCATCGCATATCTTGCACAGCGTTGATTCTCTTTTCTTAAAGCAGAATAGGTTCGACCACCCTCTCCCCCGGGGTTAAAGATCCCCCGGGAACCAATGCAAAACGCACAGGATTGGGACCCAATGTCCATCCTACTTGTGAGTTCATACAATCCCAGCCCGGCCGGTATCGAGCCCCCCCGCCATCCTCTGCAACAAATACTATGCGCGCACACTCGTTTATCACACATCATAAGCTTTTTTGAGAATCCCTTGCAAAACACATGAGATGAAGTGTACACGCGCGCGTCGTCTCGCGCGCATGCCGAAATCCTTCAAAACCTTTGGTTTCGGAAGGATTTTCAAATTGAGTTTCTAAAACACAACATACAAAACACATGGTTTCGCAACATTGCTTTTCTAGAAAAGATTACGCGCGCGCTCTTGCGAAATCCTCAGGAAGCCATAGGTTGTTCAAACTCTGCTACAGAAAAACAGAGTAGGAAACGGGCTTCGCGCGCGCGTGCCGGAATCTTTCGAACGCCTTTACGCGCGTGCCGCCGTAAGAATCCTCTGCAAGAAATGTGACGAAGTGCGCGCGCCCGTCGTCGCGCGCGCATGCCGAAATCCTTTAAACCCTTGGGTTCCGGAAGGGTTTCAAAATCGAATGCCCAAGAACATACAAAAACACATGATCTCGAAACATGGATGTTCAACAAAAGCGTGCGCCCGCGCTCTTGCGTCGTCGTCGTCGTCGCCGTCCTCCCTCCTCCCTCGTCGTCGTCGTCGTCGCCGTCGTCGTCCTCTGTTTCCTCGTCGTCGTCGTCCTCTTTGGCGTCGTCGTCGTTTCCGTCGTCGTTATCGCCGTGGTCGTCCTTCCTCGTCGTCGCCGTCGTCCGTCGTCGGCGTCTTGTCGTCGTCCCTCCTATTTCGTCGCCGTCGTCGTCGTCGTCGTCGTCGTCGTCGTCGTCGTCGTCGTCGTCTTCCCTCCTCCCTCGTCGTTGTCGTCGTCGGCGTCGCCGCCCTCCCTCTTTTTTCGTCGTTCGCGTCGTCGCCGTCCTCCTCCCTCGTCGTTGTCGTCGTTGTCGCCGTCGTCGTCCTTCCTCCTCCCTCGTCGTCGTCGTCGTCTTCGTTGGCGACGTCGTCGTCGTCGTCTTCGTGGTCGTCGTCGTCGGCGGCGTCGTCGGCGTCGTCGGTGTCGTCGTCGTCGAAGTCGTTGGAGTCGTCGTCTGTGTCGTCGTAGTCGGTGTCGGCGTCGTCGTCGTCGTCGTTGTCGCTGTCGTCGTCGGCGTCGGTGTCGTTGCCAAGTGCCATTTGGTACCCACCGTCACGGTCTTCAGAGGTCTTGCGACCAAGTTGCGGGCGGGAGGGTGGGATGTTTGCACGAACAGTGGAGAGGACAGCTTCAAGACAGATGCATTGACTTGCACCACATAGATCGCATCGCATATATCACAGTGCTCAGATTGTACCGCATACGTTGTGCCGCGTAGATTGCATCGCGTAGAGCGCACCACGCAGACTGCACCGCGTAGAGTGCCTTGCATCGAGTGCACCGCGTAGACTGCAACCGCCACGTAGATTCGTCATTTGGGTCCTACCACATCGACTACACCACATTATTTACACCGCGTAGCTCACGCCGCATAGCTTACAGCACATGTATTGCACCGCATAGGTGGGTATTTTCGCTCCTACCACAGATGTTGTACCACATAGCTTACATCACGTAGCTTACACCACATAGGTTGCACAGTGTAGATGAGTACGTTGGCTCCCACCACATAGGTTGCACCACGTAACTTACATAACGTATCTCACGCCACATGTATTGCACAACGGAGATGCGTGTTTTAGCTCCTACCACATACGTTGCACCACATAGCTTACATCACGTAGCCCGCACCACAGATACTGCACCACGTAGATTGCACGACAGAGCCTACATCACATATAGGTTGCACCACGCAGACCGAAAGAGCCCTGGTGCTCGGGGCCCCGCTGGCCAACATGTTTTTTTTCGCCACGTCGGATCCCGGAGCCTCCCTCGCACCCCCGGGCAGTCCCAGCTGGCCTCCACGAGCCTCCACGAGCCTCCCGAGCCTCCCTCGCACCCCCGGGCAGTCCCCGCTGGCTATTCGCCACGTCGGATCTCAGAGAGCCCCGCCCCCTCCCTCGCAACCCCCGGGCAGCCCCAGCGGGCCTCCCCGAGCCTCCCGAGGGGAGCCCGGAACGGAGTCCACAGGCCCCCCCCCGAGTAGCCCAGGCAGGGCGGCCTCGGCCCCCCGGCCGCTGGGGCGCGGAACACGCCCCAGCGGCGGCGCCGGAGGGGGCGCCTGGGGCGCCTCCTCGGAGGCCAGCCGCGGCCACTCCAGGGGGGCCTGTCCCAGACCCCCTCGAGTCATGAAAAAATCACGACGGGAGGTTTTTCGTTATTTTCGGCCTCTGGGGGCCCTTACCGGGCCTCGGGCGCGTCAAAAAACGACTCAGGATGACAAACCGGTCCTGGGGAAGGGGTCGGGACCTCTGGGGGTCGACGTCATGAAAAAATCATTACGTCGGGGGTCGGGGCTGCCGGGGGGGGCCGTCTGCGCGCAGCCCGAAGCCTCACCAGACGAGCTGCTGGACGCGAGCATCGCGCTGGCCGACGTGGTCGACGGCGGCCGCGAGGCCAAGGAGCACCACCGACCGAACCACCCAAGCCCAACCCGAAGGTCCCACTTTACCCTCCGTTCCCAGTCGTGGGGGGGGGCGTCGGGGAAGATTGACAAAAACACGCGTGGAACCCGTTCCCTCCCCCAACCCGAAATCTGGGTCTTCGGGCTGGGTTGGGGTAGTCAGGTAATGTCTGGTAGGTGCAGCCAACGCGCCTAGTCAGAGTGCCCTTGCGTCCTTGCCTCTGCGGCCCGTCCTTTGCCGCTTTCTCTGGTCGCCCGCCGCCCAAAGAATCCCAACGTCGGCCTCCAAGGGTCTTTGCGTACTTACCACCCGTCCTTAGTACACGTCTGACTGTAGTAGTCAAAGTCTGATTGGCCCAAAAGGGGGTCCAGCTGCAATGGGGGTGGTGCAATAGATCTGGTGCGACCGATTTGTGGGAGGCCATACTTTTGGGGCGTGCCATACATGTCGGGGCGCAGCGGTATTGCTGGCGTTTCGCGTGCAATGCACCAGTTGCGCTGCAATGCGATACAGTTCTCCGGCGCAGTACGTTTGCGATACACCTGCCCCGAAGCTGTTGCACCACTCCCCTTGCAGCGGGACCCCCTTCTGGGCCACCCGAACAGAGGAGAGGCCGCTCGCGCTGAGCCAGGGCGCCACAGCGCTGCGGAACGCGGCCAACGGCATCCTGGACGAGGACCTCGACGCGGCCTGGGGGGAGCTGGAGGCCGCCGGGGCGGGCAGAGGGCCCCCCGGCCTCCTCCCCTTGGGGTCGGCTGCAGCTCCCGGGAGGCAGGATTCGGACCTGGCCCTGGTGCGAGATGCAGCTCGATCTGGCGTGTTCCCGCTCAGTCCTGCGGAGGGTGATCGATGGAGAGGAGGCGTGTTGCCAAATACTCTCCAGATGTCTAAACCATGCTTCAAACATGCAAAAACATGTTTCCGACACTTGTCCGACATGTTATCAAACATGTTTATCACATCTTCCTACATTTTAGACACATGTTAAATTCAATGATAGGGCTGTTAGGGTGTCCATTGTCGTGGCATCCACAAGCTTAGTCCCGCTTCAGCCCGCTGACATCGGTTTCATTCCCCGTCTCATCCGCGGCCTGATCCGGCGTGGTAGCCCCCCAAGAGGGCTCAGCCATCCCCAAGGATTCCGACGAAGACCTCCCGGTAGTTGCCTCCGAACCTTGAGATCCTGGCAGTTCGGTTTTGTCGATCCTCCCAGCGCCGACTTAGCGTCGACTTGCTTCTGTGAGCACCGACTTCAGGTCGATCAGCGTCGGTTCGCAAGTGCCAGCAAGATCGTCGGAGTGCGCCGCGCTGCGAGCTAACGGGCTGCGTGGTGGCGCGGCACGTGTTGGGCCCTTTTGACACTCTTCCGGGTGCTCGAAGTCATTTCTGGGATGCGGTCCTTGAAGTAGGATGGGAGCAACACAGCCCCTGCCCTGGCTCTGCGGGTGCTCTCGGACCTGCCTCGAGGCGCGTCCGATGCCCTGGAAGGGGAGCCTCGGCCGCCTCGAGGCACGACTCTGCCTACACAAGCTCCTGGCATCGCTCGGACGTGTGAGTTTTGTTTTCTCGGCGAGGACCATCCAGGACCATCGAGCAAAGCAAAAACACGCACGACACCGAAAAGACACGCACGGGAAGTGGACGCCCGAGCGATGGCGAGAGCTGCCTTCCGCGGAGGAGCTCTGTGCACCGTGCCGTGTTGGCGTCCCCCGAGATCCCGGCGTCCGCTCCTCCCCCTCCTCCTCCTCCTCCTCCTCCTCCTCCTCCCTCCTCCCTCCTCCTCCTCCTCCTCCTCCTCCTCCCTCCTCCTCCTCCTCCTCCTCCTCCTCCTCCTCCTCCTCCTCCTCCTCCTCCTCCTCCTCCCTCCTCCTCCTCCGAGGTCTCGAGGCAGGCGTTTTCGCCCGCTCTCGGGTCTCTTTTGGACCCTCACGGCCCGATCCGGCAGGACGAGTGGCGCAGACCGGTGGGGGCCCGGGGCTTCGGTCGTGAGGCTCCAGGGCCAGAGTTGGAAGAGGAACAGGGGAGGAGGAGGAGGAGGAGGAGGAGGAGGAGGAGGAGGAGGGGGAGGAGGAGGAGGAGGAGGAGGAGGGGAGGAGAAGGAGGAGGAGGAAAGGGAGGAGGTCGAGGCTTTTCACGATGTTGTACTTCTTCCGCGTCGTCGGACCTCCGGGTCCGGCGTCTCGAGAAACTCCACGCGGACGCTCGTCCCGGTGTGCCGCCTCGGGGGGCCCTCGTCGGGCCCGCGGACTGTCAACAAAACGACTCCCCTTCCTCCTCCCTCCCCCCTCTCCTCGCTCCTCCCCCCTCCTCTCTCTCTCCTCCCTCCCCTCCCCCCCCCCCCCCCCTCCCCCCTCCCCTCCTCCCCCCTCCCCTCCTCCCCTCCAGATTAGATGAAGAGCTGGCCCTGGTGAGAAGGCGCATGCCAACGGGGACCCCGCATCTCAGACCCCGACGTCGCGATTTCTTCTCAACGCCGACTCCCAGAGGTCTGGACCCCTTCCCTCTGGGACCGGTTCTTCACCCCGAGTCGTTCTGTGACGGCCCCCAGGGCGCGGGAGGGGCACCCGGAGGCCGAGAATAGGGACCCCCCCCCCCCCCGTCGCGATTTTTTCACAGCGCGAGGGGGTCTGGGACCTGGGGGGGCCCCGCATGGAGAACAGCTCTTGACGTCGGAGGGCTGGTAGGGGAACGAAGAATGGCATACACGTACAAACTCGGAGGTCCGCACAGATTTCTCGGATCCGCGCTGGTCCGAGGGGCGGCGCCGGAGGCGCCGCCAGGGGGGTCCAGCGCGGATCCGAGAAATCCGAGCGGACCTCCGAGTTTTTCTGTTTACGCCATGCTTTGTTTCCCTCGCTGGGCCTGCGCACGCAGCGGCCCTGGCCAGGCCCCTCCTCGACGCCGCGTGCGCCGATCTTGGGCTCGGGACGAGTCCGGCCGGGATCCGCGGCCTTCGCCGGCGTTTCCGTCGTGCGTCGCCGTGGTGCGCGGTTGCCGTCATGCATCGTTGCCGTCGTTCGCGTCGTCGTCGTCGTCGTCGTTCTCGTCGTCGTAATCGTCGTCGTCCTTGTCTTAGTCGTGCGTCGTTGTCGTCGTCGTCGTCGTCGTCGTCGTCGTCGTCGTCGTCGTCGCGCGTCGCTGTCGTCGTCGTCGCGCGTCGTTGTCGTCGTCGTGCGTCGTTGTTGTCGTCGTGCGTCGTTTCCGTCGTCATTCTCGCCGTCGTTGTTGTCGTGCGTCGATGTCGTCGTTCTCGCCGTCGTCGTCGTCGTCGTCGTCGTCTTGCGTCGTCGGCGTTGTCGTCGCTTCTTCGGGTCAAGTCGTCCCCAGACATGCGACTTCGTGATTTTGAACAGCGTGGGCCCTCAGTGGTCTGGACCCCTTCCCCAGGACAGGTTCTTCTGTCCCGAGCAGTTTTCGGATGGTCCCCAGGCCTGGCATTAGGTCGGGCATGCCCCCCATACAGGCGGATTTTGCAAGGCAAATAGAAAGTAGTAGAAATATTGTTCAAACATTGCTAATCGTAGTCGACAACTCGTTCCAGACTATTTTGGACTATTTTTGAATATTCCTCCTGTAGAGGACCCCCCGAAGCCCAAATAACGCAAGACCTGTGGCGAGATTTTTTCGCGGCGCGAGCATGCCTGTGTCGCGGAGGTGGCGGCCGGCTCGTGCGAGATGTACCTGCCCGGCTTTGCCTGCCAGGGCCTGGTCGACCTCTTCAGCTACGAGGAGTGATGGAGGGAAAGCTTAGCCATCGGTCGTTGACAGTAAGTATTTCTGGATTCCCATATTCCAATCTACTTTACGCCTTAAGCGCCTTCCTACTTTCAGGAGGGAAAGAAACACACAGACACAATTAATCGTCGATTCCCGGGAAAATATGGGAAAATATGGGAAGTGGGGGGGAAGACAAAAAGCCAGAAAATATGGGAAAATATGGGGAATTATTTTATTTGTGTGTATTTATTTGTGTGTCCTGGGGCCCCTTCATACTTCAAGGATCGAGTGGCTTCGTCTTTTCCGTCCTCTTGAGGGGGCGGGCGGGTTACCCAATCTGTTTCCATCGCCTTCCTACGTCATGTTTCTACCTTCTTCTTCTTCCGACCGATGGGTGCAGGCCTCTCGCGGCGCGCAATAGTTGTGTTCAGTGGCTTCGCTCACTTCGCCAGCCCATACCGCAGGTGGTGTTGAGTGGCCTTCGGCCAGACTGGGTCGTGGTCGAGGGGTCTCGTTGTGAGACTTGATAGGAGTTTCTTGCGAGGCCTACCGGGGCCTCCTGGCGGTATTCTGGGGCCTCTTGAGGGCCTCTGGGAGCCTCTCGGGGGTGTCTTGGAGGCCTCCCAGAGGCCTCGCGCGGGGCGCAATACTGTATGATGTAGTTCACACGTCCGCCCGTCAGATAAGGGGCGACGTTCGCGAGGCGATTTTCTGACGACAGAACGACGTAGTTCCGGCGTGAATCCGACATAACCGACGTGAGCCCGACGTGAGCCCGACGTGAGTCCGACGTGGATCCGGCGTAGCTTGGGTCTTAAACAGGAGGAGGAGGAGGAGGAGGAGGAGGAGGAGGAGGACGAGGAGGAGGAGGAAAGAAGGAGGAGAGCAAGGAGAGGGAGGAGGACCAGTATAAACCCAAGAGGCATCAACGATGTTGGAACAAACCCTCCCTCCAAGCTCCCCTTTTCATCGGCCCCTACAACGGTTCATTTTTAGTGAGGGAACTGCCTCGTTGGAAGACAACTGTTTGAAGACCCTAAAGCATGCCAAAACGTTGTTCTCGGGATGTCAACGCCACGGATCAACCTGACTGTTGCGTCTTGACGATCCTGAGTCGTGCCAAAACGCCGTTCCTGAGACTTGAACACCGCGAATCAACATACCTTGTGCATCCTTATAAGCCAGAGTCGTTCGAAAACACCATTTCTGGTACGTTGATCACGGGAATCCGCGAAACTCTTTGAAGTTTTTAAGACGAGTGTGCGTGGCGCTAAGGCGAGAGCCACATGGTGAAAAGGAGCCGCCCTCAATCCGTGAAACTATTGTTTTTTACAAACAAAAAACGAATGTGCGCGGCGCTGAGGCGAGAGCCACATTTTGAAAACCACTCGCCCTCAATCCGTGAAATTCTTATTATTTTTCAAAACGAATGTGCGCGGCGCTGAGGCGAGAGCCACATTTTGAAAAGGAACCGCCCTCAATTCGTGAAACTCTTGCAAATGTTTGAAACGAGTGTGCGCGGCGCTACGGCGAGAGCCACATGTTGAAGACCACCCGCCCTCCATCCGTGAAGTGGTAAGGAAATTTCGGGCGAAATGCCCGGCCCGCCCTGACAACTCGCCTCGGGGTGCGAAATGAGACCTTATCTAATCGCTCCGCTCGTCCCGCCGGCCCACTTTCGCGCACCGGGAGGCAGTGCACGGGAAGCTCTTGGGAGTTCTCCGAGGCTTTCGGGGACGTCTCAACCTGGAAGCCTCGTTGGGGGCTCTTGGGGGCCTATTGGCGGCCTCCTGACCGCCTGTTGGGGGCCTCTTGGGTCTTGGGGCCTCTTAGGGACCTCTGGGGGCTTCCTGGTGGCTGCTTATGGCCGAGGGCTCGAAATGTTGTTTCGTGTTCCCCCTCTGGGGTCTCTCTTGGGGCGTTCTCGGGGCCTGCTTGGGTTGCCTTGGAGTCGTCTTGGGCGGTCCTGGAGCCTCTTGGGCCGTCTTGGGGCTCTCTTGGGGCCCTCTTGGACCCTCTTGGGGCAATCTTGGGGACCTTGGGCCGTCTTGAGGCGTCGGGCAGCCGAAAAGGAGAAACGCCCATATCTGTTCCAAACCTGAGAAAATTAATGAATTTTACCTCTTGGGGCCCTCTTGGGAGTGTTTTTGGAAGCCTCTTAGGGGGCGTCTGGGGGCAATCTTGGGCATATTGAAGCGATCTTCCTCTTGTTCTACCTTGAGGGGCCTACTGGGGGCCTCTTGGCCCTCCTTGGGGGCCCTCTGGAGGGCCCAGGGCGGCGCCCACCCGACCCGACCCGGCCGGGGATCTCGGAGCTGACCCGGCCGGGGTACCGTTCGTCCGGGGACCCCCAGAGGCCGCTCCGCGCGCGCGAAGCAGAAATCCTGTACGCAGTTACCGGGGATCCTAGCACGCCTCTGGCCCGTCCCGCCCTACAAGCTTGCCTCTGGGTGCGGAGGGAGAAGTGATTTGCAAGGAGAAGGAAGGGAGGAGGAGGAGGAGGAGGAGGAGGAGGAGGAGGAGGAGGAGGCGGAGAAGGAGGAGGAGGAGGAGGAGGAGGAGGAGGAGGAAGGAGGAGGAGGAGGAGGAGGCGAGGAGGAGGAGGAGGAGGAGGAGGAGGAGGGGGAGGGGGAGGGGGAGGGGGGGAGGGGGGGGGAGGGGGAGGGGGGGGGAGGGGGGGGGGGGAGGGGGAGGGGGAGGGGGAGGGGGAGGGGGAGGGGGAGGGGGAGGGGGAGGGGAGGAGGAGGAGGAGGAGGAGGGGGAGGAGGAGGAGGAGGAGGAGGAGGAGGGAGGAGGAGGAGGAGGAGGAGGAGAGGGAGGCCGCGAGTCCTCCAGGGGACTCCCGCGCGAGGAGCCCTGCTGCCAGGCCGGCCGGCCGGACGCCAGCCGCTCCCTGCAGCTGATGTGCGGCGCGCTGGCCGCCAGCGCCCGGCGGGCCAAGGCTCGCGGGCGCGGGCTCGGCGGCAGCTCGTGCCGGAGGGTTCCAAAGGGTTTTTTTGCGGGAGGGGGTTTTCCAGGAGGCAAGCAGTGGCGAAGCGTCCTGCCTCGCCTATAGCCCTACCAAACAATGTTCTAAGAACTTTTTTTGTGGTTTCCAAAGGTAGGGGGGCACATGCGAACCCTACCCCTACCCCCACGATTTCTGTGGGGGAGGGGGGGGTCACCTCGTTCGGGACCCTACCCCTACCCCCCACGATTTCTGAGGGGGAGGGGGGATGCACCTCGTTCGGGAGCTCCCGAGCGAAGTGACCCCCCCCTCCCCCACAGAAATCGTGGGGGTAGGGGTAGGGTTCGCATGTGGCCCCCTAAAAGGAGGTTTTTGTGGGGAGGGGGTTTTCCAGGAGTCAAGCAGTGGCGAAGCGTCCTGGCTCGCCTATAGCCCCACCAAACAATCTTCTAAGGAAACCTTTTTTGGTTCCCACGAAGTGCTCTTAGAGCATTTCTGGCGGAGTCTGTCTTGTTTTATCACAACGGGTTTATGCTCTAAGAACATTGTTTTTTTGGTTTCGAGCATTTTTGGGTTCTAAGAACATTTCGTGGTAGGACTACAGGAATGCCGGGACGGTCGGTCCCTGCTCAAATGAGGGGCCCCCCAGGGGCTTCGCACCCTCTGTTTTGACGAGGTTCCGAGGCCCCATAGGGGGGACTCTGGAGAACCCCCTCCCCCCAAGGAGCCCCTCCGGTCGTGGGGCCAAATAATCACGGCGGAGGGCAGCGTCTCACAATTCGGAGAAGGAAAAACGTCATAAACATAAACTTTTGGCGCTCCGCGAAGATATCTTGGCTCCGCGCTGGCCCCCCCCGGCGGCGCCTCTGGCGCCGCCCCTGGCGCGCTCAGCGCGCCAGGGAGGGGGTCCAGCGCAGATCCAAAAAATCCGCGCAAAGCCGCGCGGAGCGCCAACAGTTTTCTTTCTATCAAATTAAAAGACTACCTGCTTAACTTTGCCTAACTTGGCTGTCCCTGCCGGTTTCGGGCCTCGGGTTTTTTGCGCGGTGGCTGTCCCTCCGCCGTCGTTTGTTTCATCTGGCCCTCGCTCGTGCGCCTGTTTCGGGCCCTCGTTCGGTCCTGTTGCCGCCTGGGAGTTAGTGCTTGCCTCTAACCTACGTCCAAAACAAAGCGACGGAGTTTTTTTTGTCACGACTTTCGGTCCTGGGGGTCCTCGCCAGGCCTCGGGACCGTCGAAGAAGGACTCAGGATGAAAACACGGTCCTGGGGAACGGGTCGAGTCCTCTTGGGGCCGACGTTAATTAATGGTTTCGCTTCTTGCGCCGGCCCGTATTGAGCCATCGTTGGCGTTTGCGTGCGCGTTCGTGGGCCATGCGGCTCTGCTGGTCGGTGCTGCTGCGGCGGTGGGTGAGAGTCATCATGGATGCTTATTGGTGTCTCTTCGGAGGGTTCTCGGGGGGATCCCGTGTAGCAGTTTCAGGGGCTCTTGGGGGCCTCCCGGGGGCGCCTTGGATGCCTCTGGGGGCTCTGTTGGCGCCTTTGGGGGGCCTCTTGGACCCTCTTGGGGGGCTCTTGGGGGCCGCTTGGGGGCCTCGTCGGGCTTATTGGGAGCTCCTCGGAGGCCTGGGGGGAAGGCCCTGGGGGCGATCTGGAGGCCGAAGACCTATTGAGAGCTCTTCGGAGGCCTGGGAGGGGGCTCTGGGGGTGATTTCGAGGCCGAACGCTCGAAATGTCCGTTGGGGCTCCCCCTCGATGGGATCTTCCTGAAGGTGTCTTGGGGCTTGCCAGCGCCATCTTGGGAGAAACTTGGGCCGTCTTGGAGTCCCCTTTGGGCCCTTGTGGGCTTCTTTTGGGGACGGAATGGGCCGTCTTGAAACGACCTTAGGGTCTTCTTGGCCGTCTCAGAACGGCAGACGAAAAGGTGAGAACGCTGAAATTCTTTGACAAACTAATGGACAATCGTTGAATGTTACCTCTAGGAGGCTTCTTGGAAGTTGTCTTGGAGGCATCTTGGGCGTCTTGGAGGCGGTTGAAGCCGTCTGGAAGCCATCTTGGGCATCTTGGAGCGACTTCTGGTGACCCTGGGCCCTCTTGGACCGCCTTGGGGCCTCCTGAGACGCTCTTGACGGCCCTGAGGGCAGCCCCCCAGGAGTTCCAGCATCCGTGACGGGGAACCGCCCGCGGGACTTGCGTGGGGTACTCTTCGTCCGGGGACCCCCAGGGGGCAGCCACGCGCGCGCGAACTAGAAATAAGCAGTCGACAGCCCTCACCAGAGATTGCGAAGGCCTCACGGCCGGTGTCGCCGACCCTGAGGTTGGGGAGGAGGGCGCGGAGCACGGGGAGGAAAATGAGGAGGGGGACAGGAGTAAGAGGTGGATGAGGAGGAGTAGGAGCACAGGGGTGGAATGAATAGGAGGAGAGCGAGGCGAGCCGGGTCGCGGGGGGGGGGCACGAAGGAAGGCCAGGGGCGAGTAGAGCGTGGGGATCATGAGGAGGAGAAGGAGGGAGATAATGGCGAGGATGTTAACGATGTTGACGACGACGACGGTTGCCTAACAGGATCATTCGGGGCGTCTTGGAGCCCTCCTAGGGCGACTTCCAGGCTTCGTTCGCTGTTTTGAAGCTAGGTTCGGCATCTTGGACATCTGGGAGGCCACGGAGGGGTAGTTAGATTTGGAGGGCGCCGGGGCCGGGACCTGGGCCAGGGCAGGAGCCAGAGCGGGCCAGGAGCCAGGGGAGGGGAGACGGGCCCAGGGAAAGGTGGAACGCAGGGACAGGAGACGATTGGGCAGGGAAAGGGTGGGCGCAGGGACAGGAGATGACAGAGACGACGAACGAACGACGGAAACGGACAAGCCCCTCACACACGCCGACACAGGGTCGGCGGATGTTAGCACGCCGTTGGCCCGTGGGGCCAGCGAATAAAGAAGTCATGGATATTTTCTCTGTTCGGTGGCTACATCGGGTGCGCTGGTGTGCTTACGCCAGGGTGCGGTTTGCGATCTGAGTCGTCGGGGCTTGGGGGGCACCACGTTGCCCTCGTCGGGCCTCCTCGGGGCGCGACGGAGAACTCTGTCAAGGTCTCGTCCGCCCCCTAGGTCTCGGATTGCAAACTTTATCTTTTGCGAATCGCACCCGTCGAAGTTGCCGATGCATGCCCTCGAAATTCCGTTTCTGGAGTGCGCTCGCGTGCGCCAGCGTCTGGTAGTGTACGAGGGAGCGCCGATTTAGCGTCGATTGGCGTTGACCAGCGTCGGTTAGCGTCGATTCGCAAGAGCCAGCAAGCTTGCACGGGGGGCTTCCAGGGGGTGCCACAGAAGGCGGGGAAGCAGACCCCCAGACATGCCCGCGCCGGGCGAGACAATCACGACTGGAGCTTTTTGGCCACGTCCAGCCTCCGGGGGGGGGGGCCCTCGGTGGGCCCCGCGGATGCACCAGGTTGTCCCTGGGGAGGCGTCTTGGCCTCTGGGGTTCCACGATGTGCTAGAACTCGCGGACCTCCAAAAAATGCAGCGCTGAGGTTTTTCCTCCATCTGTTCACCGCTTGCGGCCTCTGGAGGTCCTCGCCGGGCCCCTGGGGCCGTCGAGCGCCGACTCAGGATAAGCAGCTGGCCCTGGGAAAAGCTGGGGATCCCCCCCAAAAATGGAGCAAGGTGGGCACGGATTAGCGACGGGTCCCGCTTCCATGGGAGATCGCGGATCTCGCCGCCGAGCGGGGCGGCGCCGGCCGCATTTGGGGGAGGGCACCTCCCCCGATCCATGGATTTGGCGACCGCGCGCCAAGTCCATGGATCGTGAATCCCTGATCTGCGCGCCCCTGGGAACTTGGCATCGCTCCGACGTGTGCATTTTTTCTCGGCGAGAACCATCGAGGACCATCCTGGACCATTGAGCCCAACAAAAAACACCCACGAAACTGAAAAATACACGGGAAATGGACGTCCGAGCGAGGGCAAGGGAGTGGGGTCAGGACTTCGGGGGCCACGCATAGAAGCAACGACGGCATCGGCTGTCCGGATATCCACATCCACGGCCTCGCGGCCCGGGCCCCGGAGTCGCGCCCCCCGTGGGCGAGGGGCGCTTCTGCCGCGGCTGCCCCGTGCGGAGCGCAGCGCGCCCGTGCGACCGCCGATCCGGGGGATCGCGAACACACATCTTCAGGCATAATGACATATACTTCAAAACGCAGGGAGCCGACCCTTCCCCAGTGCTGGCTTCTCGTCCCCAGTTGTGTCCCAACGGCGGCTCGGGAGGGCCCCCAGATGCCGAGCACGACGGCCAGCTTCCGTCCCGATGTTTCACTGTGCGTCGGAGGTGTGGTCTTCGGGTCGGAGCTCGGATTTCTGGCAGCCGTTCGGGGCGATCCGGCCACGCCCAGAACGCTCTCGACGAGGCGCAGCTGCTGGAGTCAGCATCAGCGAACACGTACTCATACATTGAACGCGTCCGATATTCTCGAACGTCGACCCCCCTGTTTTCTGGGTCTTTCTGTGGTGCCTTTCTCGAGTGAACGCGCGCTCCCCAGTGGAACGCGCTTCCCGGTCCATTGGGCGGCGCCGCGAACGCATGTTTTCCAGTTTAAGGATGCGCGCGACATATGACAGTTCTGCGTTGGCCTTCGCGCGCGCGGCGCCCCGAACACTGGCGAAGCATTCTTCGGGCAATGCCAGTCCATGCAATATGGTTTCCCTGGGCTCGCAGACGGGTCGACCTGAACGGTGTTTTGGCGATTGCGTGGGCCGTTTTGGTTTCGATGTCGTTTTGCAGCAAGGGCAGATCGGAGGCAACACGAGGGAAAACGATAACGAAGCGGAAAAGGAACACGCTGTTTAGGTCGACCCCCCGACCACATCGATGGCCGCCGTCGCATCGGGCGACGCCTCGGGCAACTTGCGCCTGCGTTGCAGTCGCATCCCGGGCGATCCTGTGATGAACCAGGGTCCCTCCGTTGAAAGGAAAGGTGCGTCTTCTCGGGGGCGGCAAAGCAGGGGGTGATGACTAGGGGAGGGTGGATATCATTGCAGGGGCCATGATGTCTCCCCAGATTCCATGGCGCCTCTTCTTATTTCAATGCGTCCCTATCCCCTCCTGGGCCGCGCACATGCCGCTGGCCATGATTTGCGCCCCCCCTCATGGACGCCCCCCTCTTGGCCGCCCCCGGTGTAAGTATAAGTGCGTCTGCGCTGCTCCCGATGGACAGCCTCCCGAGGCCGGGAAGCCGCCGAGACTGGGAAGCTCGGAGATGGAAACCTGCCGAGATCGAAACATACGTCGGAGGTGACCAGGCGGGGCTAGGCCGAGGAGAACTCCGTTCCAGAGCGCTCTGGAATGCTTCTCAGCGCGTCCCGGGAGGCTCCGAGAAGGCGCGGCGCCCGAGACATCCTCCAGCTCCGCCGGATTCGGCGGCGGAGTCCGAGCCCAACCCTCGCCGATCCAAGATTCGGGCAACTCGATGGGCAGCGAGGGGAAGGTTCGGAATTCGCCGAACACGCGGCAAAGTCCGAGCCCTGCTCCCGCCTCCCGTGGACTCAGGAGGCACGCTGTTTCGTGGAGGTAGGGTTCGGATGTCGCTGCCCGCAGACCTCAGAGACTCTCGACACGCACACACCCACAGCGAATCCAGAGATCCAAGTGGCCGCCGCCTAGAAGAGTCACATGACTCTTATAAACCGCCCAGCTCAAGGAACCTGAAGAGGGGAGGGGAGGACCCGGTGTTGTCCTCGTCCTGGCCTCGTCGTAGGTCTGGTTCCGCCCCATCGGCAGAGGCGGCGAAGCTCTACCAGGGCGCCGAGCTGCTGGCGGGCGCCTCGGAGAGGCTGCGCCGGGCCGCGGGGCTCTTCGAGCCAGGCGGGCGGCTTTTTCTGCGGCCGCCCTTGCGGGCCGCTGCCCCGGCAGGTCCGACCAGCCGCTGCCAGCGCCGGGATTCGAAGGCGAACAAAACGCCATAACGACATAAAGTTCTGGCGCTGCGCGCGGTTTTTTTTGGGGGGGATTCCAGAAATCCACACGGAGCGCGAACAGCTTGTTTTTGTTGCTAAGTTTGTTTGCGTATTCGAGCAGACGGCTCGGGCGACGAGATCTCTACGCATCCGCTGCTCCCTGGCCAGGCCCGCCCCGAACCCATGGGCTGTGTATATGCGCCCCCCACGCCGAGCCATGGGGGGCATGGCGTTAGCATACCGCTGCTGAGTTCGGCATGGGCCTGGCCGCGGAGTAGAGGATGTGTCTAGACTTCGTCGCCCTGGTCACATGAACTGCTGGGCTTGTCTTCCACTACCGCTACCATAAGTTAGAGGGGAAGGGAAGGAGGTGGAGAGGATGAGAAGGAGGAGGAGGAAGAGAAGGAGGGGGAGGAGGAGGAGGAGGAGGAGGAGGAGGAGGAGCAGGAGCAGGAGCAGGAGGAGATGAGGAAGGAGAAGGATCAGGAGAAGGAGAAGAAGGGAGGAGGAGGAGGAGGAGGAGGAGGAGGAGGAGGAGGAGGAGGAGGAGGAGGAGGACCCCCTCCCCCCCTCCTATTTCTGGTAGTGGTCGTGGAAACAAGCCCATCGTTAGCTGTGACCTCCGAGTCGGCTCGGGGCCCGAGGCCCGCAGACGGGCCAACGGCGACGTAGGCAACGGCGGCGCAGGCTTCGGCGGTGCGGGAGCCCGTGGCTCGCGCTGTCCTGCAGTTCGCTGTGTCGTGCCTCTTCGATCCCTTCGCGGCTGGGAATTGTAGGAACGCGTGGTTCGTGGTCTGTCTGCTCCTCCTCCTCCTCCTCCTCCTCCTCCTCCTCCTCCTCTTTCTCCTCCTCCTCCTCCTCCTCCTCCTCCTCCTCCTCCTCCTCCTGCTCTCTCTCCTCCTTTGGTGGTTCCCAACATCACTGTCAAGCAACAACATCGCGGGCAGCACGGCCTAGGGAGGTGGCCCAGCACTGGTCCCGGCGAGCACCGACGTGTTGGGTTCGAGAGAGGTGTTGTGTGTGTGCCTGGTCCAGTCTTCGGGGGCCGCTTTTGGGCCCCGCGGGATCGTAAAAAACGAATCCGTGGTGAAACATCGCTCCAGACGGACCCCGGTAGGGGTCAGGGAACCCATTTTGAGCGGACTTGCCCTTATTCGGAAACTGGAGCATGTACATACCCAGTGGCGGGCTGTTTTGCAGTACCAAGACTTTGAGGGTCGGGGACGACATCGGGGTGGTGTGGTGTATATTTGTTTCCCCGCTTTCCCGGGGGACCAACGAACAATGTATACACCCAGATCCCGTATACACCAGGATCCGCTTTCCTCTGTGTCAGTGCAGGGCCAGAACAAAAGAACGTCGGAGCACATATAGAGTTAGGTTCCCTATTGTTCCCCCCCTCCTTCGACGGATTTTCTCAAAGTTTATTCGGTTCAGACTCCCTGGCCGCCTTCAAGAGTGACCCTTCGCCGGAGTGACCTTTGGTGGGGGCCTGCCAGGGCCACTCCCTGCGTGCAGCCGATTGGGTGCAGACGCCCTCGAGGTTCAGGCCCCCCTTCGGCCAGTGCTCTAGACGTCTGGCCTGCATGGGGCCGGGATCAGGCGTGGCCCTTAAGGGCCCCGGAAACGGCAGGGCCGTTTTTTCACCGTTTCCCAAAAAATGTCCCTTGAAAATGGAAACGGCAAAACAACGGCGATCGGAAACGGCAAAAAAACGGCTCCAGGATTGGAACCGGAGCAGGAACCGGCCAAAAAACGGCGACGGAGCCGGTAATAAAAACTGCGTCGGAACCGGCAACAAAAACGGCAAAACGGAACCGGTAAAAAAACGGGGCGTGGCTGCCGCCCAGGAGGCGGGCAAGTCACGGAGGGCGGTCGATCTCGCTGGGCACGGGCGAGCGCAGCCTGCCGCTGCGTGAGGCCCTGCGCGCGAGGGCCCCCGGCGGCTCCCCGCGGCGCGCCCCGCGCGGCGCGGCCTGCGCGGTCCGCCGCGCGAGGGCCTCCGCGCCCCCGCGCGCAGGGCTCGCTCCACGCCGCTGCTCGCCGCGGACGGGAGCGCCTGGCTCCGCGCGAGGCGCCGCCAGGCTCCTGGCACCCCACCGCTTCGGCGCGGCGCGCGGACCGCATGCGGGCCCCCGGGCATCGCCGCTCCGAGCCCCGAGCTCGTCCTTTGCCTCCCGCCCGGCGAAGCGGAGCGGCACGTCGCGGCACGACGTGCCAAGAGGCCCCGGACGGTGGTGGCTTCTGCTCCGTCTTGCCTCGGTCTGCGCTGCCAGCCGTGGCAGCCGAGCTCTGCCTCTGCCTGCGCTGGCCCCTCGATCGAATGTCCCAGGACTGCCCCAGGACGGCCCAGGAGGGCCCCTCAGCGGCCCCAAGGGGCTTCAAGGAGATGTTTTGGTTTATCAACTGGCGCGTAACGAGTGTTACTCGGGCCACTCCCTGGATAACGGTAACGATCGTGCGTACGGGGGGGGGGTGGACCCCCCCGCACATGCTGGCTGTCGCGCGCATGCCGTGGCGATCGCACGCCTCGCCCAAGCGTTACTGTTCCCCGGAGCCTCCTCCTCCTCTTCCTCCTCCTCCTCCTCCTCCTCCTCCATCTCTGCCTCCTCCTCCTCCTCCGCCTCCTCCTCCTCCTCCTGCTTCTCTTCCTCCTCCTCCCTCTCTTCCTCCTCCTCCTCCTCCTCCTCCTCCTCCTCCTCCTCGTCCTCCTCCTCCTCATCATCTCTTCCCCCAGGTAACGACCGCTACCAGAACAATCAAAAGGAAGCACAGCAAGCAGTCCTCCGAGAGCACGAGGGCGCGCCCGGCTGGCGCAGGACCAATCCGGATCCCCAAGCAGCCTCGAGAGGCTTCGAGAGAGGGCTTCGTGGGGCCTATATATAATATAAAGAAACAGAAGAAATAGCAATAAAACATATACAATAAAAAATGAGGGCTTCGTGGGGCCCGGGCCGGCCCCTCCCGTGCCGAGCAGCTCTTGGCGGCACGCTCTCTTTCTGTCCTGGCCTCTGGCATCGAGGTTTCGAGGATCGAGGTTTCTGGGTCTCGAGGGTCAAGGATCCAGGTTTCGAGGCTTCGAGGCTTCGAGGCCTCGAGGATTTGAGCTTCGAGGATCGAGGCTTCGAGGCTTCGAGGCTTCGAGGTTCGAGGATCGAGGATCGAGGATCCTCTCCTGAGCGGACCCGGAGCCTCGGGCAGAGCAGGCCTCTCTGCCTCGGCCCGTGCTCGATGGAGGTGCGCTGCAGCTGTCCGCGGTCGACTGGTTGCACCGCACCGCGCCGGCGCCCCGCGAGGCGCCGCCAGTCCGCGGGGGTGGACAGAACCCCCACCCTGACACCTCGATTAGTGGATGGTCCGTGTTCCGTTCTCGAGGGGGCGCCGCGCCCAATCTTTTCCAGGATAGCGCCCGCCAGGTCTGGGCCCGAGGTCCTCTTCACGAAGCCACGCTTTGCTAGAAGGGGGTTCCGTCCATCCCCGAAGCCCTCGGTCCTGGCATGGTGCGGTGCATCGTCTGGGTCGCCCCCCCGGGGGGCGCGAAGGGGGTCGCGCCTCGCGCGCGCGGCGGTCTCGGCCGGAGGGGGGTACCCATTCGCCTAGGTGGCCTGGCGAGTGCGCGAGGATGGGCGCACGTCGCGCATCCCGTGTCGCGAGGCACGAAATCATGTGACCTGTAGCATCGTTGTGGAAGTCGATTAATGGAGAGGAAGCGTGCTGCCAAATAATCCCCACACATATAATGTTTCAAACATGTTTCAGTTGTGTAAACAATGTCTGAAACATGTTTACAACATGTATTGCACACTTTAAGCACATCTTTAACTCAATGATAGGACTGTTAGGGTGTCCAGTGTCGTGGCATCCACGACTGCATCGTCATTTGGCCCTCAGAGCCGAAGGAACGGTATGCACCGTGCAGCGTTGGAGCGGGGCCGAGGTCAAATGGAGCCAGTCCAACACACGTCGCGGTGCATGGGCACCGCTCTCTTGCGCTGCAGGGCAGAGGGAGACAAGCCAGGCGGCTTCTACATGCCGCCGGATCCCCGCGTCTACGACTTCGGGGGCTGGGACTGGGACGTGGCCCAGGAGCCCCAGGATCGGAGGCTGACAAAGGGCCTGGTTGCACGAGGTTGGTTTCGCTAGACCTGAGGGCCCCCCCCCCGACCTGAGCCCCCCCCAGCTCTGCCTGTGTTCGCAGCATGATATGTATAATGCTGATGATCGTTTTTCCACATTTTTCTTGTTTTTTTGTTTTTTGTTTTCCACATTTGTGTCCTACGCACCTCCGGGTGTATGACTTCTGGCTTGCTTGCTTGAGGGCCACCCCCCGACCTGAGCCCCCCCAGCTCGGCCTGAGGCTCCCCAGCCGCAGTTGGCCGCGGAGATGGCAGGGCAGCTTTTCGCCGTTGCCGAAACAGAGCTCCTTGCAAACGGAAGCTGGAAAACAACATCGACCGGGACCGGCAACACCAACGGCTTTGGGATTAGAGTCCGAGCAGGAACCGGAAAGGAAGCGGCGACAGAGTTGGCAACACGACGGCGCCAAAACCTGCAACAAACCTGCAAAACGGGACCGTTAGCAAAAGTTGCCCTGTCGTTTCCAGGGCCCCGTTAGGCCCCAGCAGCCGTCGAAAGCATTCGGAGGCAACGAGAAGGATAGGCATAGGGGGATGCATCGACTTCGAATGGTTGATACATCGACGATGCATCGTTGATATCAGGGCGATGTATCGACGATGTATCAACGATGAATGGGGCGACCTGCATCGACGGTGTATCGACGACGCATGGGCGATGTATCGGCCAATCGAGGTCAATGCATTCCCCTATGCCTATCCCCCCCTACCGTTACCCCTCAATCTCGGCCATGCGCAGAGGGGGGTCGGGGGAGGGGGGAAGGCTTCTTAGAAGCACCCTGCTTCTTAGAAGGCGCGGGCCTCGTCTACAGATGCAGGGCCGGCGCCTTCTGAGAAGCAACCTCCTTCGAAGCAGCCTTCCTCCTCCTCCTCCTACCCCCCTTTTGCGCGCCGCCAATGATCGCTGCCCCACAATCGCACGTCTTGAGCCAGACCCAGACATCCGGCCGCGCCAATTTTCTCGATGCGTGTGTCCCAGAAGTCTTGACCACTTCCATTGGACAGGCTCTTCGTTCTGAGTCGTTTCTTGACGGTCCCGATGCCCAGCGAGGGCCCCTGGAGGCCGAAAACGGCCAAAAATCGGCCGCTCCGTTTCTTCCTGAGCGTTGGATCGCCTCATCCAGCAATTAAGACCCCCCCTTTTCGGTGAAACGCTAACGCATCCAGGACCTGGAAGCGTTATTCTGGCACCCTGGCACTTGGTCGTTGCTCAGCACTCCTCTGGAGCCCCCAGCAATCCTCGAAAGTGGCGAGGAGGAGGAGGAGGAGGAGGAGGAGGAGGAGCGAGGAGCGAGGAGCGAGGAGCGAGGAGCGAGGAGCGAGGAGCGCGGAGCGAGGAGCGCGGAGCGAGGAGCGAGGAGCCAGGAGCGAGGAGCGCGGAGCGAGGAGCGAGGAGCGAGGAGCGAGGAGCGAGGAGGAGAGGGGAGGAGCGAGGAGCGAGGAGGAGGTTCCCGGCAGGAGGACGACGCCCTGCTCGCCGGGCTGGCCCCCGGCAGCTACGCCGCAGGACCGGGGGGGGCCCCTCCCGCGGGGTGTTTTTTGTGGGCGGAATATGCGGGCGCCGCTCTGCCGCCCGCCGGGGGCGTGCCCCCAGTGGTCGGGGGCGGCCACGGGTGGGTGATGACTATGATAGGGTTCAGTCGGGCATGTCCCTTTACAGGAGGAGTGTGCAGGAATAGCAAGTATCGGGGGCGGAAAAGAGGGGGGTGATGACTAGGGGGGGGGGGATATCATGGGGGCGGCCACGGGTCTGGACGCCCGAAATGGGTACTGAAAGAATGGGTACGATGCTCAACAGCAATTCCTGCTCACTTTGAGCAGGACTCGCTGTCCGCGCCGCCGCGGCCCGTGTCCGTTCGAGACAGGAGGCCGCCTGCCCAGCAGCGGCCGCTGTTGGTTTGGGACAACATTTGTCGTTGGGCATTGTACCCATTCTTTCGGTGCCCATTTCGGGCGTCCAAAACGGGTGGGTGATGACTATGATAGGGTTAAGTCGGGCATGTCCCTTTACAGGAGGAGTGTGCAGGAATAGCAAGTAAAGGCATTGTCTGGTGACGATGTTTCGTGCTCTTTCGTGCTTTTGTTGACAGTTTTGTTGATGCTTCCAAAATCCGCCTGCAGGAGGACATGCCCGACCTAAGACTAGGGGCAGGTTGGACATCATGGTCGGGGCCACGATGTCTCCCCAGATCTCATGGCCCACTCTTTCTTTTCTTATGTTTCTTCTTCTCGGTGGCAAATATTGTGCCAGCACGTTGAGCTTCCAGTCTCATTAGCCAGGTCAGGGGTCCGCTTTGGGGAGCGCCTCGCTCACTGACTACTCACTCACCCACCCACCCACCCACTCACCCACCCACCCACTCATTCTCACTCAGTCACTCGCTCACTCTCACTCACTCACTCACTCACTCACTCACTCACTCTTTTTCTTACCTGTATTACTTTTCTTGTTCTTCTTCTGCTTCTTCAATGCGCTCCCTGGCTCCCCCCCTCGTCCGCGCACATGCCACAGGCCAGGATTTTGTGAGACCGCCCTCTTGGACGCCCCCCTCCTGGACTTCTGTCGGGCGTGTCCCCCTACAGGGGGATTTTTGACGAAAAATCAAAAACAAATACCCCAAACATGCGCCCAAAAGGTCAAACAATACCCCAAAAAAATAGTCCCCAGACCATTGTGGGGCTATGTTTGGGTTGTTTTGGGAGTATTTGTTATCTCTCGTCGAACATCCCCCTGTATGGGGGGCAGGCCCGACTTACGGCCATGGTTCTTCGCGTTTTTTTTTTTTTTTTTTTTTTTTTTTTTTTTTTTTTTTTTTATCTCGGATTTTCAGATCTCATGGTCGGCAGGGGGTCGGAGGAGGACGAGCCGTGACGACGGTGGCTCGCCTTCGGCGGACCCCTTCGTCGCCACGGCAGGGCGCATCCTCGGGAGAGTGGTGCACGTGGACCCCGAGGGGGTGAGGGGACGCCCCCCCCCCCTGGGCGCCCCCCCTCCCCCTCCTCTTCCTCCTCCTCCTCTTCCCCCCTCCCCTGGCTCCGGATCCGCCCTACTTTGGCTTGTTTTTCAACTCAAAATTGCGTCGGAAATCCACCTATAGAAGAGGCCGGACAAGCAGGGCGGAAGTTGCTGCACCCAGCATAGAACGGGGCGGACATCCACAGAAGTAGGGCGGAAAGAACAACAGAAAAGTAGGGCGGAAATTGGCATCAGCGGGGCTTGAAAAGTAGGGCGGAAATGCCAAGCCCTACTTACGAACTTTCCCAAAGTAGGGCGGATCCGGAGTCAGGGTATTGGACTCCCCCGAGCAGGGCCCGGTCCTCGAGGGCCGACGGAGCGCCTCCCAGGCGGGAGGCCGGGCGGGAGGCCCGGCGGGAGCGGGGAGCGATAGGCAGGGGGGCCGCCGGCGGAGGCCGGCGGAGGTGCAGCGGGGCCCTCGAGAGACGGGGGGCTCCTGTGAAGTCGGGCCTGTCCCCCTACTCCAGATTTCGTAATAAAGGGAGGGGGGTCTCATTTCGGGGGGGGGTCTCTTCCAGGCTATTTTGGAGGGCCTGGGGTATATAAACTTTGTTCCCACAGCAGCTCAGCTCTCTAATACCAGTTTTATTATCGGAAAACTAGGAGGAACCGACATCACGTTGACACCGAAAAATGCAAATTCGATGTTTTTCTAGAAATGCTCCGGTTCTCCCACGGGGGAGGTCTGAAATTGCTTGTCTTGGAGGGTCCAGACCCCCTCCCTATTACGAAATCTGGAGTACAGGGAGATTTTCAGAGGGCAACAACATATGTACATGTACGCTGTTTGTGTCCGCCGAGTGGCGTTGGAACGCGGAGGTTGGTGTACGCAAGACCTCGGAGGGCGTACATGTGCACATGTCGTTGCTCGCTCAGGTTTTCGACGAGGAATACAAGATACCCCCAACAATATGCAAACAATAGTCCAAAAATAGTCTGGGGATTATTTTCTGCATATGTTTTGACCTTTTTGGGGTATTGTTTGGATATGTATTTTTTTGTTCGTCGAACATCCCCCTGCAGGGGGACACGCCCGACTCAGTGCTAATGCAAGCCAGGGCTGGACCTAAACGCTGTTGTGCTGGACTTCGGCTGTGTTTTGTTTTTCGTTTCTGGGAGGGAGACACAGGAAAACAGGTAGAGCAAAACGAGCAGCATACCGAGCACAACACGAAGAACAACGTTTGGGTCCAGCCCCGTCCTGCAGAGCCAGAGGCGCGCTGGCCCGGGCTTGGGCGCAGGATCCTGCAGGAGCCAGCAGGATTCGGAGGATCCTGCAAAGCCTGGCTGGCCTGGTTCCGGATTGACCCGGGTCAGTGGATCCCCGAGAACAGTCGGCCCAGGGTATAAGATCGAGGTCGGTTCGAGGAGGGTGCCACAGTGTTCTCCGTGTTTGTTGGATGCTCTTGAGCGTCCTGGGGAGGGTGCCCTTGGGTGTTCTGTTTGTTCTGGTCGACGGAGTGTCCCATGTTCTTGATGCATGTTCTTCTGGCCTAGGTCGAGAGATGCCACGTTCTCTTATATAGTAGTTCCCGGTTTTTGGGGACCCGCCATATTCACCGTTTCGGAGTCATGCCCTGGGGTCTCGAGGCGTGGTGGGTAGGGAGACGTGCCCGCCCTCGTGGACGGGTAGGTGTTCTGGGCCTCCCAGATATGCCCGGAGGATCGAGCCGCATCACCGATGCATCGGCGGTTCGGTTCGATGTGGGACCCGATGTTCTCCGCGCCGACGGCCTTGTTGAATCGCCGAGGTGCATCGGTGATGCGCACGCCCTCCCGGACTCCCCCCCCCCACCCTTTTGGCCCCCCCCCTCCGGCTCCCCCTGGGGCTCCCCAATGCCACCTTGGTCGCCCAAAACATCCTCCGGGGGACACGAATCGACGACGAGAGCGGCGCAATAGGGCCCAAGACGCCCGGAGATGGCCTCAAGATTGCCGAAGACCTTTGAAAAGGCTTCCAAGACGCCCCAAGGAGGGCCCTGGATGGCCAGAATTGCCCCATTCCCTTTCGAAACATGTATACTTTCAGCATGTTCGCTTTTAAGGTCATCACAGTGGCCAGGACGGCCCAAGAGGCCCCGAGTATCGCCCCAAGAGCGCCCCAAGACGGTCGAAAAGGCGCTCAAGATGGCCCAAGATGGCCCCAAGAGGGGTCCGTAGCCATTTTGGCTCAAGCGATTCGCTCAGTTCATGTCGCTATGGCCAATGTTCGGTCCTTCTTTCTGGTTGTGTTGTGCCTATCTGTGACACTGGGCCCCTGGATCTGGATAGCGTGCAGACGCGGTACCAACTGGGGGGCCACATGCGAACCCTACCCCTACCCCCCACGATTTCTGAGGGGGAGGGTGGGGTTCACTTTGTTCGCGAGCTCCCGAGCGAAGTGAACCCCACCCTCCCCCTCAGAAATCGTGGGGGGTAGGGGTAGGGTTCGCATGTGGCCCCCTACCAACACCAGCGCGTGGGGCACTTCGCCTGTGGATGCTTGGGCCAGATGTCTGCAGCAGGAGGTCCCGCTGCGCCTGCATGGGAAACACGTTTGGACTTTCCATTTGGTTTGTGGCATATTGCTGCTATACGTGTTCATTGTTTCGATGTGCCCTGGTGGATATCGTTTTGTGGCTACGATCTGTTATGTTTGCTGTTGGGTTCCGAGCTTCTTGCTCTTGGCCTATGCGTGGTATCGGGTAGGGAAGCGCAATGGCGTGCCCATTGGATTGCTCGCAAATGTTGCCATTCAGGGAGGGATCATGGGCACTTCCTTTGCAATGGTGCTGAACACGACGCTAATAACCTCTTGGCGCAATATTTCCCCGATGTGTAACCCGCTGGAGATTACCATGACTCTCTCTTGCAACATTGCAGCAGTATCAATGTGGATCTTAACTCCAGGCTTGGTCGAAGAGACCTTCAAGGCCGTCTGGCTATTCTTCCGATTACGCCGCAGCCTCGAGGACGTCCCTGCAACGTGTTGCTTTTGCTTGCCTGCTAGTCGAAGCTTCAATTGTGGTTGCTGGTACAAGCTAGCTCCGAGTCCATACCATGTGGTCTTGTGCGCCATCGCTTCAGGTGCTGGCTTCGAGTGCATGGAGAATGTGTTATACGTCTTCGAGAAAAGCGGGATGATCACTGGAACAGCCGCGAATGCAACATCGACGACGACTACCGTCATCCTTGATCCCACTGTTCCAGCACCCCCTGTCGTGGAACCTTGGATATTGATGTTGATCACCGCTGTTGGCCGCATGCCGTTCTCTATGATGCACATGGTTTGGACTGGCCTCATCGGCTTGGGCTTAGCAAGGAGAATGTTCTTGTCTGGTAGCCGTCGGCCGTCCTTGCCATGGATTGTTCTACCATCCATTGTCGCTCACGGGGTCAGCGACTATGCCCTTGCTGCGATGGCATCGGCTGCAAAATATGGTCATCCCGGCTTGGCATATCTTTTCTTCCCGCTCGCAATGTTCGTTTCTATCGGAAGTTGTTGCTTGATCGGGAGGCAAACTGGATGTCGCGGTTTTTGTTTCTGTTGTGCCGAATGTTGTTTCGCTCCCGCTTTTTGGCATGACATGTTTGGCATTGATGGTGTGCCAGCTTGGGCTGCCGATTCTGTCCCTGTAGTTGGACCGCGAATCAATGCGTCTAGTGTCGTTGTTGTCGCACCAAGAGCAACATTCGAGATGAGTTGTCGCCAGACAGAGGACTCCACGGCTGTGCAGCTCTCGCACTCGCCGTGCCGAGAATCTGGACAGAGTTGAGGCTTGTATGGGCTGCCCGACCGTATTTGAGCGATATCATGACCTGGCAACGGTTTGACTCGCACTGTTGCGCCAGCTGTGATGCATCGAGATTATGCGGTCGCACCTTTCTTCTCTCTTCGAAAATCAAATATCTACAGCAATTGCATACGTCTCCGCGTGCGCCTGTGTCAAAAAATAAAGATGGCCCCAAGAGGGGCCCAAGAGGGGGTAACATCCCCACACCAAAAATCAATGGGCGTTCTGGGGTCTCAGGGTTGGGTTTCTTGTGGCAGGTTTCTTGTGGACTGGCCTCCATCGTACCTCGTAGAGCTCTTCGGCGAGAGGAGCCAAGAGGAATTTTCAGCTGGTTGCCCGACCCCACCAGAAGAGCCACTGTGTCAACGCGGGGTCTGTTGTTGTAAGAGGTTGGACCATTTGCTTCAAATCGCGACATTTCGTGACGTTTCAATTCGTGTAATTTCGTGCTTTCCCTCGCAGATGCGGGCCGAACTTCGTGACATGTTCGTTGCGTTCTGACGCGGCGACCGACGATTTTCTTTGGGGTCGCGCCGAGCTTTTAAGCTTTTGGCATTGCTTCTGTCCGTGGCCCCGTGAGGACGTTTCAATACTTGCTATGTTTTCCCTGTTTTCTGTCTTAGTTTCAAGTCCGCAGCTGCAGTATCACTATGAAAACGCTTGGTGGGGCCGACGACACGGCTACACTAAACAATTTAGTGCCGACGCGCTCGGGTGATGAACCCGATCTCGAGGTTCAGAACCGCTACAGAGCTCTCGTTTGCACGAACCGGCTCCACCGGAATCTTTGATTTGCAGCTTCGAGGGACCTGAGATCGGTTCCCACTCGAGGTGTACGGTATATCCGAAACTATAGCGTCACTCTGTTACCGCTTTTCTGCTTCGTCGAACGCAGTTTGACTAGACCTCGAGATCTAGAGTGAGCTCGGTGTTCTGCCTGTTCGTGAACTCGTGGGCTCGTTCCTTCTTCAGGGTTCCTTATGCCAGCGTTTCGATTGTAGTGTGCCCAGCTTTTCTGGCGGAGTCCCAGCAGGCCGTGGCCAGGGTAGGCGAGCCAGGGGAGGAAGGACACCCCCGACCCCCTGAGCGGCGTTCATGAAGCAACCCTGTGCGTTGACGAGACAGCCCTGCCCTGTTCGATTCGTGAGCCTTTTATTACAGTCGAAACGCTGTCATAAGGAATCCGAATCAGGAACACGCTCCCTTGTTTTCCATAAGGTAAACTTCGACTTCCCATAGAAAACCGACGGAAAACTTAAGACAAAGTGTAAACCAATTAAGGAACACTCACTGCGCCCCTCCCCAACGAGACGGGTTCCTTCTTCAGCGGACCGACTGTGCGAAACCGCCCTGCCCTCTTCGATTCGTGATCGTCGTCTTAGTCCTTGTTTTGCCGATCGGCGCGGGCCCTCGCACCCACTCCCCCACCCTGGAGTAAATCTTGGCTGTTGCTAGCTGGCGCCTGCTTCGGGCAGGTGGGGGTCCCCGCGTAGGACGCACTGTTGCAATTAGCCGCGTTAAGCAGAGATCCGGAGCCAGACCCCCCCTCCCCCCCCCTTCAGCCCAGAGTCGAACCGCCGAAAAAGAACACGTTCACATTTCGCAGAGGTCCGGAGCCAGACCGCCCCCCCCCCCCCCCTTCAGCCCAAAGTCGAAACGCCGAAAAAAAACACGTTCACATTCCTGCTTAGGGTGAGTTCATGAAAGGGGTGAGTTTATGAAAGGGCTTCGCTTGTCGGGGTGCTTGGTATGACGGTGGCTTTTATGCCCTCTACGCTGGGGGTGTTAGTTAAGGAATGTGTTCAGGAGCCTTCATACCCTGGAGGATTCCTTATCTGATGAGGGTGGTGGTGCTATCCATAGCCAAGCATCAATTGGTATTCCACTTGCTTCCAGACCCTGGATTCCTTATTAAAAAAATGCCCTCACCGTACCAGGGACGGGCATGTTCCAGCCGTGTCGACCCGGCGGCGATCCCAGCGCGGGCGTTCAACGTTGAACCAGGCCAGTGGCCCAGAATCTGCCGACATCCAGGAACCGCGCTATTTGAGAAGCTCCGATCGCTCACTGAGAAGTCCTCGCGACACGAACGTGCCGCACAGATGGCACGAGGGCTAAGAAGAACCAGAGGAGGGGGCCCTGTGGGCAGCAAATCATGGGAGCCTGGTATACCCTCATAATTGCGACTTTAGCGTTTATTAGCGTTTGGGAGTCGGTGAGATCGCTCCGATTTAGCGTCGGCTAGCGTCGATTCAGCGTCGATTCAGCGTTGATTCAGCGTCGATCAGCGTCGATTAGCGACGATGTTCGTCGATTCGCCAGAGCCGACGACATGGTATGGGAGGCTCCCACGAGTTGCCACCGAAGGGGGCCCTTCTGTTCTTCGTGCCCGCGCTCGTTGCCCTGGAATGCTCGTCGTGTTCTGGGCATCCCGATGGAGCGCCCCGGACCTTCGGCGTACGAGGGCGTCGTGTTCTAGACTTGCGTTCTCGTGACCGTGCTTCGACTCTGCCAGCACGTGGTTCAGACGTCCTTTTTTGGGGGGCATTCCTGGGACCCACCTACAGTGGAGGCCCATGCCAAAGGGGAACCAAAAATGATATACACAAACAAAACAACTCTGAGGTCCGCGCGGATTTCTTGGATGGGTGCTGGGGCCCGCCAGCGGCGCCTCGGCGCCGCCCCTGGCGCGCTCCGCGGGCCATGGACCTGGAGGGGGGTTCAGCGCCGATCCGAGAAGTCCGGGCGACCTCCGAGTTTCTATGTTCATGCCATTGTTCGCTCCCCTATGCCAAGAAACACCTGCTTGCCTCCAGGGTGCCCTGGGTTTCTGAGGTTTCGATGCTTTTGCTGCGGAAGGCGTGACGTTCCCACACCAAGAACCCATGGACGTCCTGGGGTCTGCGGTCTGGGTTTCTTGTGGAAGATTTCTTGTGGTAGGGCCTCCACCGTAGACGTCCGTTTGGGGGGACACTCCTGGGGCCCACCTAATGCATCTGCTCGACTCTACCTCGACTCCGGTTGGACTCGAGCGCGACTCGGGTTCGGGTTCGATCCGGGTCGACAGGCGCTCGAGGCAGCACCGACGCACGAGCGAGCGGGGTTGGGAGGGTCCCCAGAGCGAGCACCTGACGTGCTGCCGGACGGGAACTTCTGGACAGCGTGTCGCTCCGCGGGTTCTGGTCCGCCGTGCTCTGGAGCGACGTGCTGTCCACGTTCCCATCCTCAGGCGCCGGTGTCCCGAGCCTTTGCCGAGCCTCCCGCCCCGCGGGACAGCGCAGCGGCACGCTGCGTCACGCTGTCCGCTCGCAGTGTATGGCGTGTCGCCGGGGCCGCCGTGGCGGCACGCTGTCCAAGAGTTCGCGCGGGAGGCTTGGATCGGCGCTGGGCACCCGTCCCTGGCGGGCGGAGCGCGCTAGTCACCACCCACCAAACCACCCCAACCCAACCCGAAGGTCTCGATTTGCCCTCCATTTCCAGTTGGGGGGGTCGGGGAACATCGAGAAAACACATGGAACCCGTACCCCCCCCAACCCGAAATTCGGATCTTCGGGTTGGGTTGGGGTGGTCTGGTAGGTAGTCAGCTAGGGGCGGCGCCGGTCTTCATGTACAGTGCAGACCCATGCCAAGAAACGACCTGCTTGCCTCCAGGGTGCCCTGGGTCTCTTGGGTTTCGATGGTTTTGCGATGGGGAGCGTGACGTTCCCACACCAGAAGTCAGTGGACGCTGTGGGGTCTTAGGGTTGGGTTTCTTGTGGAAGGTTTCTTGTGGTCGAGCCCCTACTGGAATGTTTCATCTAGTGATTGCGCGGGCCCGCCTCGGAAGGACTGGCGGCCAGGATCCGGGAGGAGCTCGACGGGGCGGACACCGAGGAGGCGCGGCGGACCGTGCTGAGGACTCGTGAGCCGACGTCACGGCCGCCTCCCGATCCCGCCCCGAAGCTCGGACCCGTCGCCGCACCTCCTTCCCCCCCCACCCCACCCCCCACACTTTTGCCGACACATACATGCATACTTGCATGTGCATGCATACATGCATACATGAATACCTGCATGTATGCATACATGCGTACATGCATACATACATATGTACATGCGTACATACACGTTTACACACAAGCATGCATACCTGCATACATGGATACAACCATGCAAACATGCGTACATGCATACACGTATACATCCGCACGCACTCATATGCATGCATACATGCATACTTACCACAACTATATATACACATGTATATACCCACGTACACACATACATGCATACATACATACGCACATACGTACATGCATGCATGCATGCATACATGCATACATGACCACATACCCATACACACATACTAGCATACATAAACATATGCATGCATACATACATGCATACATGCATACGTACACAGCTCCACACACATACATGCACACACACACACATACAAGCATGCCATCATGCATACATGCGTACATGCATACACGCGTACACGAACACACACACACATGTATGCATGCATGCATACATGCATACAGCCATACACACATGCATACACGCATACGTAAACACACACATACATACGTACGTACATCTATACACATGTCTATGTCTAAGTAGATACATGCATGCACGCATGCCTGCATACATGCATGCATGCAACCGTTCGTGCATACATCCATACAGACAGTCGGACATACACACGAACATGCATGCATGCATACATTCATACACACATGCACACATGCACACATGCATCCATACATTCGTCCACACACATCTACACATACATGCATCCATACAGACATACATGTACACATCCATGCATACACACATGCATACGTGCACGCACACATACATACACACGTACAGACATGCACCCACACGTGCATGTATACACATATACAGTTTACACGCATGCACACATATGTGTATGTATGTATGCATGTATGCATGTATGCATGTATGTAGGTAGGTAGGTAGGTAGGTGGGTAGGTAGGTATGCCTGTCTGTACGTATGTGTATACATCTATGCATACATGCATACGCCCATGCATACATTCTTGCATGCATGCATATGTGCAAGCATTCATATGCATCTATGTATAGACACACGCGTTTTATGTATGTATACTTGTATGTGTAGACTCAGTGTCAGTATCTAATGGCTTTCAGTATCTATGTATTATGTGGATGACAGTATCTAATGGCTTTCGGCCCATCCTGGCACCGTGCCTGGGTTGTGGGTTAGAGTCCTCTGGGATGTTTATTGGGGTCTCTTCGGAGTTCTCTCGGGGCCTCTTGGGGGCAGTTTTGGGGCCTCTTGGGCGCCTCTTTGGGGCCTGTTGGGGGCCTCTTTGGGCCTCTTGGGTGTCTCTTTGGTGCCTCCTGGGACCTCTTGGGGCCCCCTTCGATAACAGGGATGCCTCTCCCTCCTCCCTCCCTCCCCTCTGATGCACCTAATGTTTAATGTGTCTCGAATGCATGCTTTACCATACACAGTATCTTGGCGCCGCGGCGTCACCGCTCCGTTCCCAGAGGGACCGCGCCCCAGTGCGCACGCGAGCGTCCGTCCGACCGTCCGTCCGTTGGGGCCCTCTTCGGTTCTTCTCGAGCCTTTTCGGGGCGGAATGCTAGAATTTTCGGTTTGTGGTTCTTCTCTGGATCCCCTCTTGGGACCTTCTTGGGGCCCTTTTAGGCTGTCTTGGGCGCCACTTGGGCCGTCTCGGGGTCCTCTTAGGCCGTCTTGGGACCATCTTGGGAGCCTCTGGCCGTCTTGGGGCGATCTTCGGGGCGTCTTGGGCTGTCTTAGAGCGTCCGAAAGCCGACTCGGCGAGAAGACCAAACACCCTCAAACACCCGAGGAACGCATTTTGGCCTCTTGGGAGGCCTATTGGGAGACCTCTTGGAGGCCTCTTGGGCCGTCTTGGGAGCCTCTCAGGCCGTCGTGGGGCCATCCTGGGCGTCTTGGAGCGATCGTTCGGCGACTCTGGGCCCCCTTGGACCGTCTTGGGGACCTGGCCCGTCTTGGGGCCCTCTTGGGCCCGCGAGAGGCACGCGAGAAGACGATCCAAGGCCCAGGGGGCACGTGGCAAGCCCAGTGAGGTGTGTGGGTCCGAGGTCGGGGCCCCTGGAAGGCCCTCGGGATCGCGGATTCAGGCTGTAGGCTATGAGGGGCTGGACCTGAGGACACGCCCACTCCGTGCCCAGCGGCACGGTGGCGGATAGTAGAGCATACCATAGCATTCGATGTGTATCACGTACTATCTGATACTTTGTGGTCGTATGTCTTGTCTGCTGTGTCATCTTATACCGCGTCCAGTATCCAGCTGCCTGCGGTATACCCCGCCACCGTGCCTCTGCAACAGCGCTGCAGGAAGGGGACAGAGTTCAGGAACAGCGCAATTCCGACAAGTGGTCTGATGAGGACGGGTCGTACATGCGACCTCGTCTGCACCCGCGCGGTAGGGAGGAGGTCGGGTTCACACCCCGCGGCAGTTCAGCGAGAGGTCTGAACTGGGGACGGTCGTGATCCCGACATCGTCTTCGTCCGCGCTGTAAGGACGAGGAGAAGGAGGAGGATGAGGAGGAGGGGAGGAGGAGGAGGAGGAGGAGGAGGAGGAGGAGGAGGAGGTGGAGGAGGAGGAGGAGAAGGACAACATGAGGACGATGAGGAACAATCTTTTTGGGACCCTCGTGGTGCCTCCTGGGAGCGTCCTGGGAGCCTCCTGGGGGCCTCTCGGGGCCTCTTGGGGGCCTCTTGGGGGCCTCTTGGGGGCCTCCTGGGTCTTCTTGGGCTGTTTTGCGGAGGCGCCATGATATCTCCCCAGATTTTATAGCGCCTTTGCTGATTTCAATACGTCCCTGGCCCCCCCCCCCCGGGCCACGCACATGCCGGCGGCCATGATTTGCGCCCCCCCTCTTGAACGCCCCCCTCTTGGCCGCCACCGATGGGGGTGCACGCTGTGAAAAGTCACGACGCTTGATCTTTGGCCAGTTTCGTCCCTTCCCATACCTCGCAGGGTTCGGGGCTGGGACACGATCGATTCCGTGCCGATCGATTCGATTCGATGTCGTTTCTGTCCAGCCCGACGATTCCATTCTGACATTCCGACGATCCGATGCGGCCCGATGCTTGCATGGCACTGTTGTGCATCCTGGCGCAGCCGATCGGATTCGTTTTTCGGTTCCATACCAGTGCAGCCCGACCCGACGGACATGTCGACACGCTCCGATTTCCCGATTCGGGGCCGACTGATCCTGGGCCAAGACCGAGACTCCGACGTTAATATGCTTTCTTCGTAACGTCGACCCCCAGAGGTCTCGACCCATACCCGGGGACCGGTTTTCTGTCCTGGGTCGTTTCTTGACGGCCCCGAGGCCCGGCGAGGGCCCCCCAGAGGCCGACAAGAGCGAGCAATGTCCCGTTGCGTGTTTTTTTCCCGTGTTCTGAGGCTGCGCCCCCCCTTTTCCTCCCCCATCCCTGGTTTAATTCAAGCTTCGCGCGGCCCGCTTAGCTTCGACCGGAAGAGGTGCGCGCTCTCGACCCACGAATCAAAAACGTGTTTTTTGTTCCCGTGCCTCGAGGGGTCTCGGATTCGATCCGACGACTGCCGATTCGACGCGGGCTGGTCCTAGGCGGCGCCGACCCAGACCGCCCTCAAGGCGGCCGGGGGCTGAGGGCCCGGGCGGCGGGCCTCCACCCTTCCTCCTCCTTCTCGTTCTTCTCCTCCTCCTTCTCCTCCTCCTCCTCCTCTTCCTCCTCCTCCTCTTCCTCCTCCTCCTTCTCCTCCTCCGCCTCCTCGTCCTCCTCCTCCTCCTCCTCCTCCTCCTCCTCCTCCTCCTCCTCGCCCTCCCCCTCCACCTCCTCTTCCTCGTCCTCCTGCTCCTCCTCCAGCTCCTCCTCCTCCTCCTCCTCCTCCTCCTCCTCCTCCTCCTCCTCGTCCTCGTCCTCCTCCTCTTCCGCATGATTCTGGTACGCTCGCCGAGAGTCCAAGAACGCCCGCCTCTGCAGGAGCCCCCCCCGTCGCGACGACCGGGGTCACTTCCCAGCCGCCCCTCCCCCCCCCCTCTGCTCGGACGGCCAGGACGGCCCCCGCAGGCCCCTAGGGCCTCCCAGACGGCCCAGGACCCACCAGGAAGACGCCCCAAACACCCTGGTCACCCCCAAGACCCTCTCGTACGGTCCAGGAAGCATCGAACAAATGGCCCCACGGGAGCCCTTTGCAGCTCCAGAGCATCCTTTCATTCTCCTCTTCCTCCTTCTCCTCCTCCGCCCCCTCCTTTTCTTCTTCCTTCTCCTCCCCTCCTCGTCCTCTCCCTCCTTCTTTTCTTCCTCCTCCTCCTCCTCCTCTTCCTCTTCCTCCTCCTCCTCCAATCCTCCTCCTCCTCGTTCTCTTCCTCATCTCCCTCCTCCTCCTCCTCCTCATCATCATCATCATCATCATCATCATCATCTCCCTCCTCATCTCCCTCCTCTTCCTCCTCGTCCTCCTTCTCTTCCTCTTCCCCTTCTCCTCCTTCTTTCTCCTCCTCCTTCTCATCATCATCATTATGCTGCCCGCGGCTATGTGTGGCTCTCTTTCGGGCCGCGCTTCCATTCTCAAGTCTCTCAGGTGTCTTGCCCAGTGATGCAAGACATCGCCCACCATGCGGCGGACGTCCTGAGGTACGGGGCGCAGGCGCTGGGGGCCACTGTCGTGGCGCGGGCCGCCGCGCCGAGCTGCGGAGCCTGCTCGCCGCACCTGGCCTGCCCCGCGCCTCCGACCCTCTCCTGCCCCGTCTGCGTCTGCGCTGGCGCGGGCGGGCACGTGGTCGAGCCCTCGTGTCTGGGCCTCGTCACGGCCTACTCGGTGGCCGCGCTGACCATCGGCCTCGTTTTCGGGGCCGTGGGAGGCGCCTGGGCGGCGCGGCGGCTGCTCGGACCGACGCCCCGCCAGCCGCCCGCCGTGGTGGAGTTCGTGGACGGCATTGACCTCGCCGCCCTCGCGGCTCAGCAGGTTCGTGACGCCAGAGCCCGCGCCCCTGCGCTGCAGTGATGGCGGGCAGCTTCCACGTGCTGCGCTACCGCGTCGGCGGCGTACCCCTGTGGCACGAGCGCCTCTTGCTGGGCGTCAACGGGGGCCTCGGCTACATCCTCACGCCCGACTTCGACGACTACGACGAGCCCATCGTCGTCGGCCCCGACGTGCGAGCGGTCCTGCAGCTCGCGGGCCATGGCGACACGCCGCCAGCGCTGGCGGGCGTCGCGGTGCACCGCTTTCGCCGCCTTCCGACGGCCGCGGAGCTGTGGGCGGCTGTCGCGCGCTCGGTGGCCGCAGGCTACCCGAGGCCCCCCGACCCTCTGCCGCTGGCGCTCGCGGCGGGCAACGTCGTAGGCGCCCCGCCTGGTCCCTTCCCGCTGGCGGACCCTGCGGCTGCCGCAGCCCTGCTGCCTGCGGCCCTGCCGCCACCTCCTGGCGGGGAAGGGGCGGCGCTGCCTGCGGGGGCCGCGGCCCCGCTGGCGATGCCCCCCGCGGCCGCGGCCGCTGCGGCGGCCCCTCCTCGGCGTCGCCCCTGGCGTCGCTGCGCTGGCCGCCGCGCTGGGACCCGCCCCGCCTGGGCCTGCTGGGCCTCTGCCGCTGGTGCCCGCTCCTGCACTGGAGGCTGCGCCCGCCGCCGCCGCCCCTGGGGCGCCTGCCCCCATTGGCGACTTCAGGGCCCTCCCGATGCTGCTCAACCCGAGGGGCGAGCGCGAGAGGAGGTTCGGAGAGACCGTCAACGCCCTCTCTGAGACCCCTGTGCAGGCTTGGCCCGTGCAAGGGCCGAGGGCCCTCCTCTGGGGTTTGTCCTTCATGTCGACGATGGCGGGTACGCCCACCGCGTGGCACCAGAGGTGGCTCACGTCGATGGCCCTGCCCGACGAGGACGAGCACGCCAAGCTGCACGAGACGCTTTGCCACGTCCTGGACCTCGCCATCGTGTACGATCAGCTGCAGATCGCCGAGATGGCATCGTTCGAGATCATCGCTCGCCAACTTCAGCTCCTGGAGGAGCGGGTGCACGAGACGCGATCGCCACCTCCGAGTGGCGCAGCCCCCAAGGCCAAGGCCGCGGCTAGAGGCGGCGCCTCAGCTGGGACTTCCAGCTCACCTGAGACCAGCTACTTCCTCGGCGCTGGTGTCTCCAAGGCCAATCTCTGCATCTCGCCGAAGTTGCTGGAGTACATCGCAGACCAGATGAGGGCAGAGGCCGCCATCAGCAAAGAGCGCCGCAAGGCTCGCGAGGAGCGGGCCTTGCGGGCGCCATGACGCCTGAGAACTTCAGGCCTGGCTGTGGGGCGCGCCACAGTGGCGCCAGCCAGGCTCATTGCCCCCTCGCTGCACCACCCTCTCGACAGCGAGACGTTTTCCCCCTCCGCCCTATTCCTGTGGAGCGAAGATCAGGGACTTCATCCATGGGCGGGTCGGCACGCAGACGGGCCGCCAGGGGCGCTGCGTGGCGGGAGTGGTACAACGACGCGGTGTCCACGCTCAACGACATGCACCACTGCGACCCGAACGATGTGATCAGCCCGCCTCCTGGTCTTCCTCCGCGTGCTCGTAGTGACGCTGAGGCGTATCTTGCTCAACAGTATCGCGAGTTTGAACTACCTCCTGGATATTCCGAATCTCCTCCAAGATGCGGGGCAGCCCTCGCAGAGTTGCTCGCATCGGCGCCTGGGTACTCTGGAGAGTCTCGGGTAAGACCCTACAACAAGGAGCTCGTCTCCTGGCCGAAGCACGTGGCGCCTGTCCCGACGGCCGACCTCGTGTCTGAAGCCGATCGTTCTATGTTGGCAGGGTGGAGGCATCAAATGCTACGTGACCCTGCTGATGCAGCTGCTCTCAGGAAGGACTCGGGTCTGGGGTCGCCCTATGTGGATCCACGCCTTCGGTTTCGCCCTCGGGAATATGCTGATTTTCTGCTACGCCTGGACCAGGCTGGCATGCTTGAGTGGGAGGTCGCCGATCGTCAGGCTACCTACTCTACTGGCTTTTTCTTCGTCGAGAAGTCCAACGGCGTCAATCTGCGCCTCGTCTTCGACACGCGGGTGGCCAACATGTCCTTCTCTGCCCCTCCCTCTACGAGATTGCCGACTCCGTCGGCATGGAGCGCACTCGAGGCCGACCGCGATTTCTACGTGGCCCAGGGCGACATTCAGTGCGCTTTCTACCACATGAAGTTACCGCCACATCTGCATCGATATTTTTCCTTGCCCGTCGTCCCGAATCGGTACCTGGGCTTCAAGCGGCTCAGTGGCATGAGTATCGGGACGAACGCCTCCCTGCAGCCCTTCGTCTCCGTCATGCCGATGGGCTGGTCGTGGGCCCTCCACTTCTGCCAGTCCGCCCTGACCACGGCCATCCTCGACTCGGGTATCGACGAGAGCTCCTTGCTGGCGGACGGCGCTGCCATCCCCCCGTTGCGGAAGGACTCCGACGTCATTGGCGCGGGCTACGTAGGCAACTTTGCCACCGTGTCCCTCGACCCTGAGGTGGCCACGACAGCCTGCCAGGCCATGCGTGACGTGCTCGTGTCGAGGGGTCTGCCCGTCGACGAGTTCGCCCCCGCCGCCAAGCGCGTGGTCTTCACTGGCTTGGACATTCTCGGCGACGTCGGCATCGTCCGCTGTAAGGTCGACAGGCTCTGCCGGTTGCGTCAAGCCCTGCTGGGTCTACTTAGACGTGGCTTCGCATCGCCCTTGGCCTTGTCAGCAGTTGTGGGTCACTGTGCGTGGGGTATGATCACCAATAGGCCCATGCTGTCGATCTTCAACGCAGTCTACCGCTTCATGAGCCTGGACGCCCGAGTGGCCGCGCCGCTGTGGCCGTCGGTCATCGCCGAGCTGCGCGCGGCAGCCGCCCTCATACCGCTATGGCGGGCCGACGTCAGAGCAGAGTGGTCGGCGACTACTTTCTGCAGCGACGCCTCCCCCTACGGCATCGGGGTCTGCCGCAAGACCGCCGACCAGGGTCGTCGCGGCCGCTGGGCGCCTGTCTGAGAGATGGCGCTATAGGTTCTCCGACGCCGCGCACGCCCGTGCCCGCGCTCTCGGGATCGAGCCTCGCACTGCGCTTGAAGCTACCGTGGACAAAAATTGCCTCCCCGAACGCCGCCGCAGTCCGAGGCCTCCTAAGACCCCTGAGGGCCCTCCGTCTACGCCATCATCGTTACATCAACCAGCTGACGCTGCCTCCCTCGACGGCTTCGACGAGGTTCCCGACTCGATCACGGCTTTCGACGGCTGGGCCACGATACACAGTTCGCGTCACTCGAGGTTCGGTTTGGACATGCGATACGAGGCGGAGGCTCTCGGGTTTGCGATGCGACACTCGGCTCGGTCTGGACGGCTTCGTCATCATCGCATCTGGTTCACCGTTGACTATTTGGCTCTAGCTCTTGCCGCTGGCAAGGGCCGTTCTGGCGCCCGAAGCCTTCGCGACCCTCTACGCCGTCTATGCGCCCTGTCGGCGGCCACGGGCATCCGCCACGCCATTCGGTGGATCCCCAGCGAGAGCAATGCCGCTGACTCGCCGTCCAGGACGGGCTTCTTCGCCGGGCCGACCTTCGAGGAGCACCAAGCGAATGCCCCCCGAACTTCGACGGCAGCGGACCACGACACTGGCGGAGCAAAGGACCAAGGCCCATCCTGGGCCAGTGCTGCTCGCCCGAGGGGCCCTGTCGGTGCTGGAGGCGGCCGCCGTGTCGGACACGACCATGGCCAACTACTGGGGCGCCGCCAAGAAGTTCGAGGAGTGGTGCCGCTGGACGTCCCAGACGTTCACCACGGCAGAGGAGGTCGATGTCATCCTAGTTACCTATTTCGTGAACCTCTTTCTGGACGGCTTCGACAGTGCCACGGGCCGTGTACTCATGGCCGCTCTGAAGCACTACCTGCCCGCGATCCTCGCTGGCAGGACTCCGTGCCCACGGGCGGCTCGCGCCTTGACAGGCTGGCGGAAGCTCGTTCCCCCTCAGATGCGACTCCCTCTTCCTCGAGCGGCGATGGCGTCCATCGTGGGTGTCCTGATAGCGTGGAAGCTCTTCGGCATGGCTGTGTTCATCAGGCTGATGTTCGACACATACCTGAGGCCCAGCGAGGCATGCCGCCTCACGGCGGGGAGCGTGATACGACCTCGACCCGACGGCGTCCTGGGGCACGGCCACTGGGCCCTGATCGTCAACGACGCCTGCCTCGACCGCCCTGGCAAGACAGGCGAGATGGACGAGAGCGCGATCGTCGACAACCCGACCATCTGGCCGCTCCTGGAGGCCCTGGTTCACGACAAGGGCCCGACCGACGGCCCGTGGACCTTCGCCCCCGACGAGGTGCGGAGTATGTTCCGTCGAGCGGCAGGTGCCCTCGGTCTGGAGACCGAGTTGACTCTCTACTCGCTTCGTCATGGGGGTGCGTCCGACGACCTGCTGTCGCTCAGGCGCACGAGGAAGGAGGTCAAGGACCGCGGCCGCTGGAGGACGGACCAGAGCCTCCTCCGCTACGCGAAGCGGGCCCGCATGCAGCAGCGGATCGCCAGCCTAGGCCAGAACATCGTGGAGTTCGGCGAGCAGGTGGACAGGCAGATGAACGACCTCATCCTGCAGACCACGGCCTCGGGCGTCTTCCCACTGAAGGTGCCTCTGGCAGTGACGCCGACGCCGCCTGCTGTCAGGCCGCAGCCCCCACAGATCACTGCACGGTGGGCCTTCGCCTGACGCGCCTCTGGCGCTCTGCCCGGCGGGCGTCTACGAGAAGCAGGCACTGCCCTGCGCTAGTGCTCGGCTGCGACGGTGGGGCGGCCCGCGCCCTGCAGCGGTTGGGCTTTGGCGTCGTGCACCTCGACTCGAGTCGCCACGCAGGCGACGACATCACCGATCCCGCAGTGATACGGCGCGTCTTAGGCTGGATTCGTTCTAGCTGCCTCGCGTGCGTGTGGGTGGAGCCCGACGCCGCTACCTGGCTTCGTCAGTCCCCTGCTGCGCGGTCTAAGCTGCATCCTCGCGGCCCCCCGTCTTTGACCAACTTTAAACCTCGATCTGTTTGCATCGCCAGCCTTTTTCAGGATCAGTACTTGCGCGTCCTGTCTGATTGCTGTGATAAGAAAGTGCCCGCCATTTTATGCCATCCCGACGCGTCTTTTATATGGGACGGCCGCGCGTGCACCACTCTTGTGAGCCAGTGTTATTCTTCGACAGTTTTCGACTCATGCATGTACGCTGGTCGCGTCAGAAACAGATTTCGGCTTGTAAGCTGGAGCGTGAAGAATATTGATCGGCTATCCCTGACCTGTTCGCCTGTTGCCTCGCCGTGCCGTCGCACTCGCAAGCGACACCTCGGCGAGTTAGGCATCCCATCGTTAGACCGTCAGATGCGCAGCGCTGCGCGCCACCCACCTGCCTGTATCCTACGATTCGCATGTGAAATGATGGCCAACAGCGTCGATAGCCTTCGATACGTCTCCCGACTATCGAGATGTGTGTGAGTTTTCACTCAAGTATTGCGGCTTTCAGCCAGTGTCTTGGACTAGCCGTATTACCTGGTGCTGGCCCCTGCGGCATCAGATTTCGAGTCCTCGCCTGGCGCCCTCTTGCACAAAAAGAATCGTCTGGCCACGGAGTCGTCCACATTATGCTGCCCGCGGCTATTTGTGGCTCTCTTTCGGGCCGCGCTTCCATTCTCAAGTCTCTCCCTCCCCCCCTTGTCTCCCAACTCAAGAATGTTTTCTTTGGCCTGGCGCTGGCCCCTGCGGCATCAGATTTCGAGTCCTCGCCTGGCGCCCTCTTGCACAAAAAGAATCGTCTGGCCACGGAGTCGTCCACATCATCATCATCACCATCATCATCATCGTCATCATCATCATCATCATCATCATCATCATCGTCATGATCATCCTCCTTCTCCTCCGCCTCCCCCTCCTCCTCCCTTTTCTCCTCTCCCTCCTCTCTCCCCCCTCTACTTCGGCCCCTTGCCCAGCGCGCGAGGCGGCGAGGAATCGGCAGCGAGGCGGCTAAGCTGCGGCGTGGGCGGCAACGTGGCGAATACTCGGCACACGCATCAATTTACAGCGCAAGCCAAAGAGGAACACCTAAATGCAATCCTGGTTTAGGGTTTAGGGGATACTCAGGCACGAACATTACTGTCATGACTACTAGTTTACCCTACGCAGATATGTGTGTACACACATACATGTATATGTGATTATAAACATATATATATATATATATATGTATGTGGATAGGCGCACGCATTCATATACATCTGTATTCACTTTATACATCCGTGTACGTGTACATGTTTTAGTATGTAATATGCATACACCGTATGTGTAGTATGTACAAGTTTGCGTATTATTGCAGGACCGTTTTACACGCGTTTATATGTAAGCGTATCATACGTATTGTTTCGTTCGCCCGTCTGTATATACACATATAAGTATATATCGGCCCGGCTCGTACACATATATCTGTGAATACGTATATATATATATATACGCATGGCAATGGTCGTAAATACATACATGAGTATATATTTATAACTTAGCACAGCGGTCCCATTGGAACCATATGGGGGATCCATGGGAACACGTCGACATGCACATTGTATGTGTTCCTGGTGCGGATGGCTGCAATGACGCTTGCTAAGGAAATCAACTCGCCACACTGGTTTTCTTAAGCGCATTGCGCGAACATAACGCATCAGACAGAAAGGAACACACATGCTATATACCTACGTATTCTACGACGGTGGCGCGGGTACCGCTTTTTCTGACCGCGCTGTGCAATGGAAGAGGCAACGGCCATGACACGCGAACAACCGATTGAAACAACGAGACATGAAGGCGCCGTTTTGTTCAATCACGCTGCCAGGTAAGAGCAGCCACGTGCAGAATATACGGTTGATTACGAATCACAACGCCCGATATTAAATGAGATACACATGGACATGCTTATGTTTCTTGTCTTGCCCAATTCCTCGTCTTTCCAAATCAAAGTCAGTATATTCTGCGCGAACCAGGCTCCGTGTGGCAGCGCGATTGAACAACATAGCGCCTTAGTTTATCTAGCATGTCGTGACACGCTCACGTGTGCTATGCACGCGGCGACGTCCACGCGGCAGCGTCGCTGGACGACGTCACCGCACCTCACTGTTACACCCGCCCTCCCATTATCATGGCACTCTTCTTCTTTATCATCCAGCCGAGTAGCCGAATTCAAGCATCTGCAATGCCTTGCGGCGTTCACTGGTATTTGTGACCGGTTTTGCTAGGCTGCATCGGTCGATGTCCATGTTGAGTTGATGAGCTGATGGTTTCAGGCGTCCTTTTGGGGCTAGCGCTTGCCCTATGAATCGATTTCGCCCCATCCAACGGCTTCCAGCGCGCTGACTTCCTGCGCGCTGGAATGCAGAATCGGGGATCCTCAGAAATAGCAGAATTCCCAAAACATCGAAAAATACTCTCGCCCGCAGATTGTTCAATTCTCTTTCAGACACGACAATTAAGCTGTTTGGGCTGATCCTTGGTTCCTGGGATTCACTTGATCCCAGGATCTCGAAGTCCAAGGATCAGGCAACATAGCATTTGTTGTGTATAACATGGTTTCTTTGTTAACATTGTGTTTTCATATTTTGTCTGATCCCTGGTTCCTGGGATTCACTTGAGCCCAGGATCTCAAAATCCAGGCATCAGGCAACATAGCAACATTATATATATGTACACATCTCTCTCTGTATGTGTATATATATATATAAAAAATGTGTGTGTGTGTGAAAAGCCATGCAATTTTGCCCGATCCCTGGTTCCTGGGAGTCGCTTGGGCCCAGGACCTCACAATCCAGGGATCCGGCAAACTAGCATTTTTGATGAAGGCTATTTTGCCCGATTCCTGGCTCCTAGGATCCACTTGGGCGGAGGACCTCAAAAACCAGGGATCAAGCAACACAGCAGAAAGTGAATGTTGTTTAACATGTGTGCTGTTTTGCCCGATCCCTGGTTCCTGGAAGTCACTTGGGCCCAGGGCCTCAAAATCCAGGGACCAGGCAAAATAGCAAACTTCTTGCAAATAGTGAAATGGTTAATGTTTAGTGCTATGTTGCCCGATCCCTGGTTCCTGGGATTTACTTGGGCCCAGGATTCCAAAAACCAGGGATCAAGTAACGTGGCAGATTTATTTTCAAAACAGTTTTAACATTTAAGAACTTCTGGTGTCGATGATTGTTTAAACATGAAAATTTCACCATGTGCGCGATTTCTGTCAATCCTTGGATTATGGAATTCAGCGCGTTGATGGTCTTTCAGGTTCTGCTGCGGAGGATTCAACGACAGGGACTGCGCAAAGCTAAATCAGATGCGAGAGAAGCAGCATCAAGACAGACGCAGGGAACTCGCCGCTTGGGGGTGCGTCCGAAGGGGGCGGAGGTTGCGTGGCTGGGAAGTCACCCTGGTCGTCCGCACGACCCCCCCCCTCCCCCCCCCTCCGCCCCATGCCGAGACGCCGAATGAGAAAACCCTTGCTGGGGGGAATCCCGGGCGTTGTGTTAAGTCGGGCCCGTCCCTCTACAGGAGGAGTATTCAAAAATAGTCAAAAAATCGTCCCGGACTTTTTTTGTGTATTTGTTGACCATTCTCGAGTATTTTTGGGTACTTTTTATTTTTCGTCGAAAATCCCTTTGTAGGGGGGCACGCCCGACTTGAGCGTTGTCTCTGTTCGTTCGTGTGCCCCTGGGCGCCCGCGGGGACGCTGGCGGATCCCGGGCTCGGGGGGCACCTCGGGCGAGCCCCTGGGGCCGCGCGGGCGGCGGCGGGCCGGGGGCGGCGGCCGCGCCCCCGAGGAGGCTGGTGCGCGTGGCCCACCCGGACCAGAACCCGGGGCACGAGAAGGAGCCGAAGCGGCGCCAAGGGGTGGAGGAGGGGGAGAGGGAGGAAGGAGGGGGAGGAGGAGAGGGGTAGGAGGAGAGGGGGAGGAGGAGGGGGGAGGAGGAGGGAGGAGAGGAAGGAGGAGGAGGAGAGAGGAGGAGAGGAGGAGAGGTGGGGAGAAGGGGAGGGAGGAGGAGGGGGGAGAAGGAGGAGGGGAGGGGAGGAGGAGGAGGAGGAGGAGGAGGAGGGGGAGGAGGAGGGAGGAGGAGGGGGAGGGGGAGGAGCTCCCACAGGCGGATGTTGGAGGACAAGTGGCAACCATCAGAACAACTATGCAACAAGTGTCAAGCGCCGTCCCCAGACTATGTGTTCAGCATTTTTGAAAACTCCTCATGTAGAGGACATGCCCGATGTAACATTCTCTCAACGTGTACTGGAGCGCCGAGCGCTGCTGAGCGGCCGCGACGCCCGCTCCTCCAGGCCAGCCAGGGCCCAGAGCTTCGCGACCTATCTCGACCTCGCCCCGTCTCCATCCCGCCTTCGCCTCTTGGCGGCGCGCGAAGGGGCCAGGAGAGAAAACTGCAGTGCTGACCCATGACAAGAAGCACCCTGCTTGCCTCCAGGGTGCCGATGTCTTTGCCATGAACAGCGTGACGTTCCCATACCAAAAACCCATGAACGTCCTGGGGTCTAAGGGTTGGGTTTCTTGTGGACTGGCCTCCACTGTATCTCGACCTCGCCTTGTCTTCATCATGTCTTCGCCTTTTGGCGGCGCGCACAAGGGTCAGGAGGTAAAACTAGAAACGTACACAATGAAACATGGATGTTCTAGGAAACTAGTAGACGATTCGGGAAGCTGAGGGGAAAACGAAACTGCGCAAGATATGCGAACATATGGGGAGTACTTGCATTTGTGTCAATCTATTTGTGTCTTCCTAGGCCCCTTTACGAAGGGCTGGACGTTCTGAGAGGGCAGAAGGGACCTCAGAAGACCAGGGCCTTCTCCGAAGCGCCCCGAGGTTTCGCCGAGAGGCCTTCGTGGAAGCCTCCGCGAGGCCCGTCTGCGAGGGCCCCTTGCCTTTCGGGAGCCCCCCCCCCCTCCTGCCTTCTCGGCAGCTCCTCCCCCCTCGCGCCACCGACTCGTGCGCGCCGCCGAGTCAGAGCTCCGCCGTGCTGTCCAGAGGTCCCGACCAGAACCTCCAGAAGCAGCACGAGGCAGACGAGGTCTTCCTCTTCTTTCTCCTGCTCATCCTTATCCTCCTGCTCTTCATCATCTTCCCCCTCCTCCTCCTCATCCTCCTCCTTCCCTTCCTTCTCCTTCTCCTCCTCCTCCTCCTCGTCGTCTTCCTCCTCCTCCTTCTCTCCCTCCTCCTCCTCCTCCTCCTCCTCCTCCTCCTCCTCCTCCTCCTCCTCCTCCTCCCCGCCTCTTCCTCCCTCCTCAGAAGGACACCCCAGAGGTTCCGACCATTTTCCCAGGGCCGGCGCAGCATCCCGAGTCGTTGCTAGACGGTCCTGCCTGGGGCCCAGCGGGGGCCCCATGGAGGCCAAAAGCCATCGGCGACCTCAGTTTTTAACCTTTCTACGTGCCGGAGGTCTGGAGAGGGGGGGTGCTCTAGGTGCCCGTTTTTGGGGGACGTGCCTGGGGCCCACCCGCCGGATCTGTTCGACTCTGGTTCGACCCCACTTCGGCGCAGTGCCGGCTCCAATTCGACCCAGCTCCGACTCGGCCTCGACTCCAGGTCGACCCGGATCGACGGACCGTCCGACGCAGCCTCGATCCCCCCCTACCCCCCCCCCAGGGGCTGCGCCACATCCGTCGACCCAACCCGGCGACCTCCTTTTGGGGCCCCCAAACCTACCCAAGACATATGTAAAATCGATGATTTCGTCTTCTTGGTCCTCTTGGGGGGCCACGAGGGCGTCAGGACGGCTCAGGATGGCCTCTGCGCGGGCCAAGACGGCCCCTAAGACGGCCCAAGATGGCCCCGAGGGGCCCCACAAGGCCCCAAGAAGGCCCAAGGAAGGTCCCCGGGAGGAGCAGCCGAGGTGCTCCTTCCTGCCCGCCGGCCCGCCGCGCCCCCCTCCCGTGCCTGCCCGACCGCAGCGCGCCCTTAGGCGCGGCCTGCGCTGCCAGCCCGCACGCGCCCCTCGGTGCGGGGCTCTCTGGCGCTTCGGGCGACGCGCGCGCCTCGCAGCAGGCGCGATCCTCCCCCTCCGCCCCCTCCTCCTCCCTCCTCCTCCTCCTCCTCCTCCTCCTCCTCCTCCTCCTCCTCCTCCTCCTCCTCCTCCTCCCCTCCCCTCCTCCTCCCTCCCTCCTCCTCCTCCTCCTCCTCCTCCTCCTCTTCCTCCTCCTCCTTCTCCTCTCCTCCTCCTCCTCCTCCTCCTCCTCCTCCTCCTCCTCCTCCTTCGCCTCCTTCTCCGCCTCCTCCTCCTCCTGCCCATCCTCCTCCTCCCTCTCCTTCCACCTCCTTCGCCTCCTCCTCTTCCTCCTCCTCCTCCTCCTTCCTCTTCCTCTTGCAGTCGAAACCGATGGTAAGGATGGGCAACCTTCCCAAGGACACCCTTTGCACCTCCGCCTCGTCGGTCCTCTTCGGTCCATCCTCAGCCCCTCTCGATGGCCAGCCCCGCTCGAAGAGCTTCGGCATGGGCGGTCCAAGGCCCTCGCATCCTTCTTGCGCAGCCCTGCTGTCAGGTTTGACTGCACTTCGGCCGGCCACGGCCCACCCGGCTCGCGCCCGCGCGCCCTCGGCAGGAGGTCGTGCCCGTTTTCCGCTACGTGCAGCGGCTGCGCGCCCGCGTCGGCGGCGAGGAGCCGGGCAGGCGCGGCTCCAGTTTTCAGAGTGCGTGCGATAGCGTGTGGCCACCGATGAGAAAGCACCGGCTGAGCGTCGGTCAGCGTCGACTTCGCCTCGAGCAGCGTGGGCGAGCGTCGATTCGCAAGAGCCGGCAAGCTGGCATGGGAGGCTCCCCGGAGAGGCCACGGAAGGAGGCGAGATCTGTGGCGAGGCCCTGGCGCAGGAGGGATCCAGCTGCTGCCCAGGCGTCCTCGCGATGCGCGCACAAGCACGACAGAAGGTGCTTTTGTCAATGTCCGGCCTCCGGGGGCCTTCACCGGCCCCGGGACCACATGAAAAGCCAATTCGGGACGAGCAGGCGGGCTCGGAGAAAGGTCGGGACTTTGGGGGGTGGGCGCACGAAAATGTGTCAGGACATCGAGCGTCTGGGTGGCATGAGGGGGCAAGAGCAGGTCGTGCCTTGGAGTTGGGTAACCCTCGTGTTGGTCGCGTCTGGGCTCTCGGCCTTAGATCTCAGCCACGAGCAGAGGCGAGTAGGGGGAGGTGGGGAGGCGTCTTAGGAGCACCCCTGCTTCTTGGAAGGCGCGAACCTTATCTGTAGATGTAAGGCCAGCGCCTTCTAAGAGGCAGCCTCCTGCGAAGAAGCTTTCCCCCCTTCACAGTTACACCATATGAATACTATTCTCCTCTCCCCGGAAGATGCCCAGCCCCCCTCCCCGTAGTTTTTTTTATACCCACAGGGTTCCCGAGAGTTGGGTTTTCGCTATGTTTTTTTCGAAGTGTTGCTCCCGCTGGACCGCTGGCCTCGTTTTCGGGCTTTCCCTCGTTCCGAATCGTGCTCCCGCTGCAGCGCTGGCCTCATTTCCGCGCTTCCGCTCGTTCCGAATCGTGCTCCCGTTGCAGCGCTGGCCTCATTTCCGCGCTTCCGCTCGTTCTGAATCGTGCTCCCGCTGCAGCGCTGGCCTCATTTCCGCGCTTCCGCTCGTTCCGAATCGTGCTCCCGTTGCAGCGCTGGCCTCATTTCCGCGCTTCCGCTCGTTCTGAATCGTGCTCCCGCTGCAGCTCTGGCCTCATTTTCGCGCTTCCGCTCGTTCCGAATCGTGCTCCCGCTGCAGCGTTGGCGTCATAATGTCCAGTTCACTGCCACGGCATTGTTTTCGGTCCTTCCAAAAAGGCTCCCAAATCTAAACACTGCTCCCCGAAAAAGCCGTCGCCAGTGATTCCACATTCGGTGTCGATTGGTTGATTTTGGGCCGCAGAAGCCCCCCCGCACCACTTTGGGGCGTCGCCAAGCCATGTTATGTCATGCCACGCGTTGATCTTCAACACCATTAGGGGGCCACATGCGAACCCTACCCCTGCCCCCCACGATTTCTGAGGGGGAGGGTGGGGGTCACTTCGTTTAAGAGCTCCCGAGCGAGGTGAACCCCACCCTCCCCCTCAGAAATCGTGGGGGGTAGGGGTAGGTTTCGCATGTGGCCCCCTAACCATGCTATGCCATGTAATGCTATGCCATGCTACGACATCCGACTGCGAATAGAGAGCTACGCCATGGTAAGGGACGGGAGGGAGGGGTAGGACATCATATATGACGCGAGTGCACCTAGCTTGCCCTACACCGCTCTGCGCACTGCCAAAGAATGTTCATTGTTTTTCCCTATATGTTTCGCAGGGTGTTGGTTTTCTTCCCGCCCGCGTCGCACCCGCGTTTCACACCCGCCCTCCTCCCCTCCTCCGTCTCCTCCTCCTCCTCCTTCTCCTCCTCCTCCTTCTCCTCCTCCTCCTCCTCCTCCTCCTCCTCCTCCTCCTCCTCCTCCCCCTTCTCCTCCCCCTACTCGCACGCAAAACATACGCGGCACCTGAATGAGACACGCCTACACACAGCCGCACATATATCAGCAGCATGCGCACATGCGTACACATTGGATTTCTGTACGCGTCAGGCAATCAAACATCCACACACATGCCGCCGCACACCCACCTACCACACACACCACACAACACATACGAGAAGGACTCGCATCATACACACCCGACGCATGTAGCGCGTAGGGCATCATACACCCCAGACGCATGCACCACATTCTAGGCACCTACATGGGCACTTTTTCGACACCATAAAAGGGGGTGCGCAGGGGTTGGCTCCCCTTACGCGGTCTCTATACGTCCAAGGGTCGCGGGGCGCGGCAGGCGTGGCATTTTCTCCACACCACAGGGGTTGCGCATGGCATGGTCCCGGAGCGTGGTCTCTATCCGTCCCAGGGTCGCGGGGCGTGGCATACGTGGCACCTTCTCCACACCACAGGGGTTGCGCAAGGGGTGGTCCCTCTCCGTGGTCTGCATCCGTCCCAGGGTCGCGGGGCGTGGCAGGCGTGGCATTTTTGTCACAAGAAGGGGTGCACAAGGGGGTGGTTCCCCTACGCGGTCTCTGTCCGTCCTCGGGTCGCGGGGCGCGGCAGGCGTGGCTCTTCCCCCCCACCACAGGGGGTGCGCAGGGCGTGGTCCCTCTCCGTGGTCTGTATCCGTCACAGTGTCGCGGGGCGTGGCAGGCGTGGCACTTCTCTACACCACAGGGGGTGCGCAGGGGGTGGTCCCTCTCCGTGGTCTGTATCTGTCCTGGTGTCGCGGGGCGTGGCAGGCGCGGTAATTTCTCCATACCACAGGGGGTGCGCAGGGGTGATCCCTCACCGCGGTCTCTATCCGTCCCGGGGTCGCGGGGCGTGGCAGGCGTGGCATTTTCTCCCCACCACAGGGGGGGCGCAGGGGGAGGTCACTCTCCGCGGTCTCCTCGTAGGGGGTGGCTCAAAGCGCTCCGAGAGTTCGATGAGCGTATGGCCGAGGAGACGCGGGAGATCGAGACCCGATCTTGTCGGCGGCGTGAGGTCGTTGGAGTGCACAGGCCCGTGCGCGTCCATATTGGCCGTGGAGGTGAATACGGTCCGCGCGGACTCTGGATGGCTCCAGTTGAGAGACCCGCGTTGTTCTGACAGAGTGGGGTGCCGGAGTTTTTCCGACACAGGCAGCGATTTCCAGTCGCGTGGGCGTCGCGCTGCTCGCGCCGCCCCTGCACGTTTCGCAGCGCCCGTCCATTTACCTCTTCATGTCAGCCGTAGAGCTGCCGGGAGATTTTCCATCGAATGGCGCTGCCACTGTCTGTATTCCGGCGGTGGACGTTGGCTTGCCATGTTTTCGCGCGCGCAGCTCGGAGATTTTCCGTCGAAGAGATGCTGGCAGAAACGTGGGAAAAAACGAGACAGAAAAGTAGCCGATCTAAGGGGGAAGAACGGGAGGGGGGAGGGGAGGGAGAAAGCGGCAGGGGGGAAGGGATAAAGGATCATCATGTACCGTTCCAGGACACGGCCCTCGGTGACCACCTCGCAGCATGCAGACGTCAGGATGACATACGTGCAACGTGAATACATTAAGATTAAGCTATGTATGTGAAATTTCTCCGTAGTGTATTTGTGTGCTCTCCTGGTTTTTCTGGCATGTAGTACAGGGGTGCATGCGTGGTCTCGGCCCACGTTCTCGTGCCCCTGCTTCGACTGTGCTGCTGACAGGAGGGCCCCAAACCGTCGCGAAGGAAGGGTGAGGCGACGATTCAGAACATCAGAGTAATAACAGCGTCAACAACAGTGTTAAGACTAAGATGGAAAAGAGTTGGCCCCGGGAGGGAACGAATGGACGCCCGGAGGTCTGTCGCCGTCTCCGGGTTTCCCGGGAGGGGCCTTCCCCAAATTGGCTCGGGAAAACAGGCCGGCTTCCACCAGGACCCCATGTGCTCCCTCGCTGAGCCCGTTCGGCTCCTAAGCACGTTTGGCCGCCGAGTGCCGAGGAAGGAACAGGTACCCACATTGCTATCCTTCCCTCGTTTTCGCCTTGTTGGGCCTCATCGGAGGCCTCGTCGCCACCGTTTAGGGTCAGAGCGCACCCCAAAGGAGGGCGAGGGAGTAGCGGTAACGATACCTTGGGGCTCGGAGGGCCGAGCGGGTTCGGGCGCCGAACAGGTTCGGCAACAGAGCCCCTGGGGCGCGTCCGTTCCCTCGCGCCCGTCCGCTTTACAGCCGTTTGCTCTTCGGCACGTCCGGCACGCTCCTGTGTGTGCCGTCGTGTGTCCCTCCAGTTGGCCTGCGGAAGAAACGCGGTCGACTGCGCGGACACTGGCGCGTGAGTTTCGAAGGCGAAGCCGTGCGTCAGCGCGGCATGCCATGCTGGCGGCCGACCGCGACGTCGACGTCGACGTCGACGTCGACGACGACGACGACGAAGAAGACCACGACGACGACGACGACGGGCGGCGAAGAACACGACGACGAAGAACACGACGACGACGACGACGGTGATGATCGGGTCATAAGTCGGTTTTCCAGTGGCCGTTCGGGACGATATGGGAACCCCGGGGCGCTCTTCGGGAATTCCCACACTGCTCCCGGCGAGGCGCACCTGCTGGGAAACACCGCGAGGTTGAAAAGCTGCCGACCAGAACTTTGAAAACATTGCGACGGCGACGTCGTCTCTTCGTTCTTCCCCTTATGTCGGGCGTGTCCCCCTACAGGGGGATTTTCGACGAAAAACAAAAAATACCCCAGACATGCCCCAAAAAGGTCCAAACATAGTCCCTGGATTATTCTTGGATTATTTTTTGATTGTTTTTGGGGTATTTGTTCGTCGAAAATCCCCCTGTAGGGGGACAGGCCCGACATAATCCCTCCCTGCAGGCGGGAGCCTGGGCCCACGAAGAGCCAGCCCGGCTGGATGCGCTGAGAGCCCCTCGGCCTGCGGGCCCGTGCCGAGTGGCGCCCACGCCAGTGAGCAAAACATGCCCCGCCAGCCGCGCCGCCCCGAGCGGTTCGCCGAGCGAAGAGGAGCAGGCATGACGCACTGATCCCCTCCGCACCTCCTTCCTTTAACCCTCACCCCTCTTCGTTACTCCCTCATCCCTCTCTCTCCTCTGCCCCTCGCCTCCGCCGCTCTTCCTCCTCTTCCTCCTCCTTCTGCTCCTCCTCCTCCTCCTCCTGCTCCTCCTCCTCCTCCTCCTGCTCCTCCGCGTCCTCTTCCTGCTTCTCCTCCTCCTCCTCTTTTTCCTCCTCTTCCTCCTCCTCTTCTTCCTCCGCCCCTTCTTTTTCTCCTCCTTCGTTCTCCTCCTCCTCCGCCTCCTCCTCGTCCTCGTCCTCCTCCTTCTCCTCCTTCTCCTCCTCATCCTCCTCCTCCTCCCCCTCCCCCTCCCCCTCCCCCCTCCCGCCCCAGATTGACGCACCTGCGAGCAGGTGGGATGAGTGCCAGGGCAGTTCACATCCCCGCATCGTGCTCAGCATCCGTTGACGAGGACTGCCTCGCGTCCAGGCGCACACGTCTGCGTGGCCCCCGCCCCCGCATGCATGCACAGGAACCAAAAACGGCATGAGCATACAGTGCCGTTTTTAATACTTGCTCCGCGTGCGGATCATATATTAGAAATGCAGGGAGTTAGCATTGAAAAACAACGACGAGTTCATGCACACATTTATTCATAGATCAATAATGTATTTCAAATCCCATATGTTTAAAACATCCTATGTATTAAAGAGCTGCCCTGCAGTAGTTGTCCCAGCGGTCCGCGCGGATTCTCCCTGCATCCCAGGAGCACCTGCACCTCTCAGCGACGCCCCGAGCGGCTCGCCGAGGGCCCCCCCGCACCTCCGAAAGGGGGGACCCCCGGCTCTCCCGCCGCCGTGGGGAGTCCGAGGCGGAGGTCCCGAGCTCCGGGCGCTGCTCTCGGCACCGCTCGGACGTGTGCACGTTTTCACCACCCACCAAGCCACCCCAAGCCAACCCGAAGGCTTAGATTTACCCTCGATCTCCAGTGGGGGGGGGGGGGGGGGTCGGGAAGCATCGGAAAAACTCGTGTGGAATCCTTGCCCCCCCCAACCCGGAATTCGGGTCTTCGGGTTGGGTTGGGGTGGTCTGGTAGGTAGTCCATTTTTCCTCGGCGAGAACCATCGAGGACCATCCGGGACCAGCGAGCAACAAAAACACACGCACGAAGCCGAGCAATGCGCGGGAAGTGGACGTCCGAGCGACGTCGAGTGCCTGTTGTTCGTGCAGCGGGCGCTCTGGTTTTCTTTTCGGACCCCTGGACCATCGCAGATGGATCCCGCTCGAGAAGCGCAGCAGGAAGATTCGGAGGGCACCAACTATACACCAACACCGATCCTGGCCCAGGATCACCCTGGGCCCAGGATCGGTGTATATGCCTTCTTGCGCAAGGCAGGAGGGCGTATATACCGATCCTGGGCCCAGGGTGATCCTGGCCAGGATCGGTGCTGGTGTATAGTTGGTGCCTTCCTAAAGATGGGATCAGGGGCTCAGGCGTGACCCCTCGCGGTGTTGCAAGTTCGTCGCAGCGTCGGATCGCGGGGAAAGGTATACCGGCACCGCTGCTCGTGCCGGAGAGCGTTCGTCGCCACGGCGTGTCGTCAGAGTGCACTTTGGGCGAGATCTGGGGAGAAACGGTACCGCTGTGTGCGACATCGGCGGCCACCAGTAAAAGTATTGGAAGGGCCCCTCGGGTACAGATGTGCAGTTTGTGAGATCCCACTCTTCCCTGGGGTCGACGCCCTGGAAGTCCTGGTTTCACCAATCGTGTAGGTCGACTCCCCGAAGTCCTGTCTGGCGACTCCCAGTGTCGCGCGTCCACGCCCTGAAGGGAAACCCTCAAGGAAAGCTCTTCGGGAAAACCCTTAAGGGAAGCCCTTGCAGGAAAGCCGTGCCGGCAGCCCTCAGGGAAGCCCTTGAGCGAAATCATGAGCTGAAACCTTCGGGGGAAATTCTTCAGAGCAACTCTGAAAGGAAACCTTTAGGGGACACCCTCAAGGGAAGACCTCCAAGGAACCCTTCGGGTAAAGCCTCAAGGAAACCCTGAAAGGAAGCTCTTCAGGAAAACCCTTAAAAACATCCCGTAAGGCACGCCCTTCAGGGAAACCCTGCAGGGAAACCCGAAGGGGAGACCCGTAAGGGAAACCCGTAAGGGAAAGCCGGAAGGGAAATCTTGAAGGGAATCCCATGTGGGGAAACCCTCAAGGGAAACCTGCTCCTAGAACCCTGTTAAAAGATTTTCAGCAGCCTCTCAGAAGCCTCCCGGAGGCCTTTCAGAAACCGCTATTGTTGTGCACACCCTTCTCGCGCAACAAATTCAGGACCTGCTCTCTTGACATTGTCAGTGCACCTGTTGCCTCGTCCGCGGCAGTGTTCGTCAAATTTCCCGCAGCGCGCGGGTTGACATGGACAGGCCGTTCCGAAAGGGTTGTTTGTGTGTGTGTGTGTGTGTCTGTGAGCGAGTGTATGTGTGTACCCTATGCTATCACTCGCTACGGTGACGTCGCCTGGCCAGCGGAGGAAAAGGGGTGTTTGTGCTTGGCCTCGTTGCTTCTCTCATTTCCGACCTGCCCTGCACCACTCAAGCAGTGGCGAAGCGTCCCGGCTCGTTTATAGCCCCACCAAAGAATGTTCTAAGAACCTTATGTGGTTTCCACGAAATGTTCTTAGATCAGTTTTGGCGGAGCCTGTTTTATTCTATCACATCGGGTTTATGTTCTAAGAACATTGTTTTGGTCCTTAGAACATTTCTGGGTTCTAAGAACGTTTTGTGGTAGGACTACAGGAAAGCCGGGACGGTCGGTCCCTGCTCAATTGTTGCTCTCTCTTTTCCGACCTGCCCTGCACCACCTGTTTTTCCTTCTGCCCGGGTTCGGCACTGCGCGTTTCTGAGAGCTCAGTCTTGCCACGCATCAGAACGCGACAGGCTTGCGCTTCACGTCCGGGCAGCGTCAAAAGGAGGAAAGAGGAAGGAAGGAGGGAAGAAGGCAAAGAAGCAAGGAACGCGGGGCGCTGTCTTTTCAAAACGAGGACCCAACACCACAGGATTGTTGGGAACCAGGACGTCAAAGTCGTGACAGTGACGTACTCCAAGAGTCGAGTCAGGACGTCGAAGTCGTGACACTGACGTGCTCCAAGAGTTTACGAGCAGCAGCCACAAGCGGCTTAGACATGAATGTCCCGAGCTCCGACATGTTAGATCTATGTTTTTTGTTTTCCTAACGATTTCCACAAACATTCCGTGGCTTCGAAGATGACCTCTTCTGCCGCACAGTCTCCAGAAACGAGGGCCGCTGTAGATATATTCCAGAGCATGTGCAGGTGGGGTCCGAGCAAATGGGGTCGGAGCATCTCGATGCACCGACGATGCATCGGCGATGCGGCTCGATGTGGAGCCCGATGTTCTTCACGCAGACGGCTCGGATGCATCGCCGACGTCGCTGCTGCAGCGCCAATGCATCGGCGATGCATCATGCGTCGGCGATGCGGCGTGATCCTCCGATCCCCACACATCGCCGCGCCATTTGTTCCGACGCGCGGCCTTACGTCTTGGGGAGGGCGCCTCGGCCACCAGAGCAATCTCCGCCTCCGACGCAAAGTTGGCCGTTGGTGTGCCGCGGTGCTGGCTTCGTCTACATAGGCGTAAGTCGGGCGTGTCCCTCTGCAGGGCAACATTCAAAAATAGTAAAAAAATAGTCTGGGGACGATTTCTTAATTTTTTTGACCATATCTGAATATGTTTCTGCTGTTTTCGTTTTCCCCCAAAACTCCGCCTGAAGGAGGACATACCCAACCTGGAAATACGCGCGCTCAAAACAAGCAGCGGCGACAGATCCAGGAGGCCCCTGTCTTCGGCGGCGCGCCCAGGGGGGAAGTGAGAAGGGGCGGGCCTTCTCAGAAGGCTCGGAAGTCCCCCGGCCCCCTGAGAAATTTTGCGAGCCTCCCCCGAGGGCAGACAAAGCTTCTCGGACGGCGCGAGGGCTTCTCGGAAGTTCCGCCGCCTTCTGAGGAGGCCTCCTCCTTCTCACTCCCCCCCCTCGCTCGCAGCCAGTGTCTTGGAGCGCACCCGTGGAGTCGCGAGCCAGCGCCGCACCCCTCGCGCCGTGCTCTCGCCCTGCCCCGGGCCGCGGCGAGGTGGAGATGCTGGTGCCGGACATGGGCTCGGGCCAGGCGTACGGGTCCCCCGAGGCCGACGGGGGGAGGAGAGCGAGGGAGGGAGGGGAGGGAGGGGGGGCGGAGGGAGGGGGGGGAGGATGAGGAAGGAGGGAGGATGAGGGAGGGAGGGAGGGCGGAGGGGGGAGGGAGGAGGGAAGGAAGGAGGATGAGGGAGGGAGGGAGGGAGGAGGGAGGGAGGGAGGGAGGGAGGGAGGGAGGGAGGGAGGAGGGAGGAGGAGGAGGAGGAGGGAGGAGGAGGAGGAGGAGGAGGAGGAGGATGAGGAGGAGAGGAGGAGGGAGGAGGGGGAGGGAGGAGGAGGGAGGAGGATGAGGAGGTTTGAATGTGTGGATGGATGGATGGATGGATGGATGGATGGATTGGGGGGGGAGGGGCCGCCTGCCCGCCCCAACGTCGGCCGCCTCGGCCCGGCCGCCCCGGGGGAGGGAGCGGTCGGCGCTGCACGGGTCGGGGAGGCGTGCGGCATTCGGGCCGGACGAAAGGGGGGGACAGGGAAATAGAACGACGCGAAGATCGGGACAAAATCGGATCGGGATAACTCGAAATCTCTGAGAATCGGCGGGTTTGGAGGATGTATTGGGCGCCGCGGCCGCTCCAGAGCGTTCCGGAACGCTCTGAGAGCGCTCCGGAATGCTCTGGAGCGATTTATCCCGATCCTAGCTCTGTTTTAGGAAAGGGGGAGCAAACCTTAGAGCAAGTTCGTGGCCTGCAACTGCCACGAGCGTCAAAACGGGGA